CTGTGCAGTTATGCCGGGGATCTTGGCACGGACAAGAGACGAGGGGAGAGTATTTTTTTTTTTTTGTCTCTAGGTATAATGAGGAACACGAGTGTCGGAATGACGCACAGTGGACCGAGTCCATTGGAGAGGTCGGACATGGAATTTTTTACTGAAACTGTAAATTTTGATGTTTATTTTGTCATATTATAAATTTTACGGGGTGATTCTAACGGAAAATTTCACGAGGAAACCGATGAAACCACATTTAGAACCTCAAAATTTTGTATAATTGGAGATATTAGCGATTAAAGTTTCCAAATTATGTCCGGCCTCTCCTATCGACTCGATCCAATGTGCGACGGAGCGGGGAGCGGGGCGCGATGGCAACAGTGGGCGTCGCTTGTGCGGTAGTGGCAGTGAGGCGTCTGGTTGGGGCGTCGCGCTGATCGGGAGCCTGCGCCTGGCTGCGACTGTGTCGTCGCTTGTGCACTGCGAGGGCGTCCTTGGCGGCAGAGTGCGCCGACAGCCCTGACCCTTTCTCCGTTCGTTACCCTATGCCCGCTAACTGGGCCACGCTCCCCCCGCGCCCCGCCCCATCTCTCTCCCTCTTCACTTTTAATCTTTTGCCTTTTATAAGCTCTCCGTCTCCTTTACATCCAATTATCCTCCGTCTCTCTCGCTCTCCTCTCTCGTTCCCCTCTCTCTCTCGAGCGCATCCCGGCGAGCCGTGTCCTAACGTCGTTCGCACCGGTGAACTTACTCAGAGGTGACACCGCGTTCCCATCCTCGTTTTGCACCTCCTCTTTTTTTTCGCCGTCCGACTTCGACTTGGAAAATGGGCCCGAGCATCCCGACACAAGCGTACTTTTGCACAGCGCTCGCACTTTTTCATTTTCTTTCTAGCTTCATTCGTAATCTGCACAGTGCACCTCTATGTAATTCCGTGAAGCAAAAATAGATCAACTTCGCACCATTCCTCAACCTAGGGGAATATAATGCATTTGCTTATATTCAGCCTTTCCTTCCCGTAATTTCGCGAATATCAGGAAGATCTTAAGGCACGGCAATTAAGGCTCGCAAAGCGGTGACCAGAGGCGGCATAAGAATCCGTAAAATGTAAATCGATCGAGTTCCGCTAATTAGACTGCATTTTGCAATTTGGAACTGTAAATTCTAACCCGGTTTAAAAACAACGTATGTGCCATTAGTTTCCCTATGCACATACGTTTTTTTCAGATGAGCCAGAATTTATAGGTCCAAATTGCAAAATGCAGTCCAATTAAATGCTGCGCCGACTTGCGCATCATAAATGCTGGACCTTTATTAAAAATATTGGTACCGTCAGGTCTTTGCATGTTAGTAAGCTTCAGCCTGTTGGGACGGAATCTATAAAATGAATTTTAAAAAAATAAAATAAAAAATAAGCAAAAAACAACAACAAAAACATCGCAGAGGAATTTTAGTTTTGCTGGTTTGTAAAACTACCCCCGAGAAGGATTTATTCACTTTTGCAAAATAATCTCTTCCATGACGATTTCTATCTCCCGAAAAACATGTAAGGAAAAAATACGGGAGTAACGGAGGCCTTTAAAATCGGAATCTCTCCGACGTTTCCCGCTCTACCGTCACTTCAAGGTTTATAGGGTTCAGGTTGATGGTTCAGAGGGCCCCGGCATGTTTCTTGTAGGGGTCCTCGAAATTTGAGAAACCCACCTGAAGGAGGACTTTAGGTTAGTTAGAAAGGGGCCCACCTAATAGGAAAGGGCCCCGAAAACGTATCGGCACACCCAGAATTTTTGAGCGATTTTGACGATAATTGCGATAATTCGTGGTTCCCCGGACGAACGAACGTAACTCCATTCCAAGGTTGCAAAATTGACCCCAACAATTCAGTATTTTGCACGAATGCTCCTGTGTAATTTTTGTCGAAATTGTGTCTGATTTTTGCATGAGATCCGAAAAAAAATCAGTACGATTTTCAATTAAAAGTTGTCAAGATTTTCGTCGTAAAAAATTAATTTTCGTGGGGCAATTTGGCAACACTGCAGTGCAGTTACGTTCTTTCGTGGGGGAACGACGAATTTTGACAGACGGATCAACATGGAGAAATAAAGCTTAGAAATATTCCAATTTAGACGAGGGGTAAATATGGCGGATTTCGTGGACGCTGACTCGAACTCGGAGTCGGAACAGAGGGATATTGTAAGTGCGGATTGTCCTGCTGAGCAAGAAACTCGTAACTCCCATTGAACTCCATTGTAGTTAGGTGTTTTTTGATGCGGCTCCGATTCGCCGACTTTCTCCTTTTCCGCCCATTCATGCTGTCATGCTGCTCGACCGAGAGCGAGAGTGTAAGTAGCGGAGACGCGAGCGTCTGCGCGGGCATTACGTTTACGTAACCTATTGAGCAATCAGAACTGAGCTCTCGCTAACCACCATCACCATGGCTGTCGGATCAGCCAATCAGAGAAAGTTCTCTCGTCGGCCAATCACAGGCCCGGGTTTTCGACGACCCCAAACCGCGGCTCTTTCGGCGCATTCTTCATCCCAGTTCCGCTGTCCACACACACAAAAAATCTAAAAAGGTTGCTGTCTATTTGGCTTTCAATCTTGTTCCCTGTATGAGGGATATAATGTCGAAACCGTGCACTTGATGTACTATTGTGTTTTTTTTTCTGTCTGAGAACGCTGAAAGAAGCAGATTTTTCTTTTGATTTACTTTTTCCTCTGTAATGTTACCGATGCATTGGAGTTTTATTCAGAGAAGATACACATTCCTACTTTCATAACAATCATTTATCGATACTCTTAATGGTTTACGTCCTTAAATCTTCTCACTTTCGTAGTTGGATAAGAATTTTTAGGAAGGGCCTCATTAATATTTGGATTTTGTTAATTTGCTCATGCGCCTCTCAGGTTCAACGGACCGGTTGAGCCTTACTTTAGTCACGTTATTTTATTTTTTAAGTTGCTCGTTTAATGTTGAAATGGTCTGGAGTACAATTTAATTAAAGATTACTTTCCTTTATTGCCTTTGAGCATCCTCTTTTCTCTCTCGATTGCGGAAGGCGCTTACTCCAGCTCAAGTTGGGTTAGGCGCGGTAACGCATCTAAACTAACCTCCCGGTAAGGCGTGAAGTATCGAAAAAACTGAAGGCGCTCGCGGGCGCGTCGCGCAAAGACTGAGAGTTACCTGTCAACTTTATCGAAGCGGATAGCGCTCGTTTATTTGACCGTATTCTAACTTGATATTTGCCGTGACGTTAGAACATCAGTTCTCAGCGCCTGAAGTTTAAGGAAAGTTAATTTAGTCGAGTTTACATTTGGTTTTATGGGTCTCTTGCAGTTAAGAGATGTAGTTCAAAGAATATAGCCTCTAAAGGTAAAATTTGTCGAAAATCATAATCGACACGTATATAAAGTCTGAAATTCACGTCCTAGCCCACAATTTGCGTGTTGCATATCTATTTTCTCAAATTTCTCGCGTCTGCACGCACTTTGTTCGACGATTTTGGCATCTAGAATAGCATAGATAAAGATGCAAGAAAACCTATGACAAATATAAAAACATGCAATCGCACATGTCATGAGTTTTCCTCAGATGTGAATCCTGTCATTTTAAAGCATATGATTATACTCTTTGCTTAGAAAAAAAAAGTGGCAAGAAGTACCCAATTCATCCCTGCATGACATTACCGTTAGCATTTCAGTCTCCCTGTCCCTGAAGAATGTAAGAAGAGACTCTCATTCGAGACACATGCGGCAAATATAGATGTATTAAAAAATCGGGGAAATGGTTTTTAAGTCCATTTGAAGTGTGATTAATCCAACAATAAGGGAATTGGGTTAATGACTGGCGTTGAGATAACGACAGTAAATTGATAAAATGTTGCGAGCAGACATGCCACTATTGAAAACTATACTGGAGAGACAAATTCAATGTTCCACCGGCAAGAATGAGTTAAATTCTTAATCACGCGCTTAAATCTTATCACATTTCGCCTAGTTTTGGTGTCCTCACTTTTTATCGTTTCTTCTCTGTTTTTACGGCGTTATCTTTAAAATGAGCCTACAAGCTATGATTTTTTCAGCCGATTTTTTCAGTTTGCACTAGGAAATATCATGAAAGAGTGCTAACGCCAACAGCTTCCCTGTGCTCCTCCTCTTTCGTGATGTTTTATTCCAAAATGATACCGATGAACCATGTTCTCCACAATATGACGGAATTATGCCACAGGGAGAAACTTCTAGGACAATTTTTACTTCTAACTTATTTGGAAGACTTTCAATGTTTCAAATAGTAGCTCCTCATTTACAATAAGTAACCATAAAAACATATTTTTTTTTAGAAAATGGAAAAAGATTTCTGGCAAAATCTAAGTCTTTAATAACTTTTTCGAAATGGAGGCCATTGAAATTTTGAGTTTTATATCCTACCGGATCAAACTACCACTCTCAAATCATGGTAGGTACAAATCATCGGTTTGAAGTGAATAATCTCTTTATTTCTGTCATTTTATAACGGTATTACTATACACTGCTTGTTATTGGAATAAGTTTTTCCGTGTCTGAAAGCATGCTCAACACTATTCGTATGTTTTGGGGAAAAAATTGTGCTCTCGCATTTTATCTCATATTTTTTTCTTTTTGTTTGTGCAGGAATTATGACCCTGACAAGACCCCCATGTGACTTAAATACCATGAGCCTTTTTCAAGACCTCAAGTTGAAGCGACGCAAATTAGATTCTCGGTGCAGTAGCGACGGTGAGTACTTTTAATTTTAAGATATTTTTTACTTGAATCCTCTGGAGAAATGAATGATGTTTCCCTCATGTCATAATTCTTTGAAAGCCGTCAGTTTATAATTTTTTTGGAAACATTTAATTTTTAATAGGGAGCCTCATTCGTGTTCTCTCATAAACCTTATGTCGAAGCTTTGGATTTGTCAAAATTGAACTGTTTTTTGAGCGATTTCCATGATAACTGGAAGGAGGAAAAAACTAGAAACTGTCTCAAGAGTTGGGAGACATTCGTCCGAATTCGATGCCTCGGTTTGAGATCTTTTTAAGACGGTTCAAGCAAGAGTCAATAATTCGCACTCGAATATGAAGTTATTATTCATGACCCCTAAGGCTGTTTCGTGGTCAACGACCCAGTCTCCTTATCTAACTCCATGCAACTAGGTCACAATAAACACTTCACTTTACATGCCTCTTGCGTCTTCAACGTTCTTATCGCGACGGGATACGTCTAACCCTATTCATAGAGAATGTGTTCTAAGAAGACCTTAGTTAACCTCATTTTCTTCATGCATTTGTTCCTTAACTTGAGGATCAAAACTACTCCCCCCTCTACACTCCAACCCCCGTAAATTTCGAGAGGAGATATATTTCACGAGAAAAAAAGTTAGTATTCACGACTTAAGCTTCTCTTTTTTGAAAAAAAATTATTGGACGTTTTATCAAAAGTTGCTTGTTTCTGCTACTTGAGGTTTTCATAGAAATTCAAGTTTTTATGCGGGGAAAAAATTATTCAGTGCAGGGTCCGTCGGATTTTTCGTTATTTTATTTTTTTTATTTTTATTTTTTCTATTTTTCTTTTAGTAAGCCTTATGTTTGACAACGTATTTTATCACCTGAGAGAGTATTCCTGCAGCTAAAGGTCTCTAAGTATTCGCGATAGGTCTCCAATTACGGATAAATCATTCATTTTCCCCATGAAACTCTGGACAACTCTGTCAAATCCTGACTCGAACGATTTTCCTCATGAATTTCATCTTGCAAATAGGAAGGAAAAAATCGAGAGAGAACTTGTAGAGCATACACATCAGGGTAATCTCCAGATATGGGTTTGTTATTTCCATGGTATAATTCGAAATGATCTAGAGAGTTTCTCTAAAAGTAAAATGTGAAAAGCGTTCACTCCTTACCTGGGTTTAAGTAATGAACTTTTACTTCGGTGGACGAGGTATACATCGTAAGATCCTTTAAAATTTTGCAAGAGCACGCTTAAAGTTCCTTGAATAGCGATTACTTTCACGTGGAGGAATGTGTTTTTGCCTACTCGCTCTTACGAAGGAAAAACGTTCTCTGTTGCTCGTTCGCTTTGAACTCCGCTCGATAGTACAGAATGTCGTTTATCTGCATTTTTTTAGACTAGCCAGAAATATAGCTCCCTCTAAGCAAATGCTATTCCAGAATACGACAATAACAGAAGATATCACGAAATGTACAATACCGTTTTTCCTAATGCTTGAGTTTTTACCATTAAAAATGAGTTTTGACGACCATCGAATCAGATTTTTTTTTTTTTTTTATATTATCTCCTTGAATGGAAAAACTGAAAACTTGGAGTCCAGATACTCGAGAAGATATGATCAAAAAATTATACGTATAACAACCTTACAACTTTCGTGACACAACTTCAGATATTTTCATCCAATGCAGTGGCGTGGCGTGAATAATCGATTATCGATATCTCGCCATTTGAAGCTATGGTAAAGAATCGATTACTAAGGTGTTCGCTGCGAACACCCTTATAATCGATCTTTTTTCATAGGTTTAAACGGCTTAACGATCGATATATCGCAATTCACGCCACGCCATAGATCCAATGTCGATGTCTGCAGATTGCTGAAAGAAATTCTCACCATCTCGGTTTGGCCGATTATTCTGATAGGAGCATGACGACGACCACATATCGACGGTGAAACTACCAAACCACGTATCTCGTTTGCGGTGTTTAAAAATCTACGCTCACATTTTATTTTTTTGAAGTAGACCAAATCAAGATCATTCCTTGAAATTTTCACAGACTCTTTTCCGCACGAAGAGGAAAAATCACAGAAATTTTCAAGACTGGACGTCAAGTAGTTTTTCATTTAAAAAATAAAGTATGACAGGAAGTCTGCGACGTCGCAAACCGAGATACGTGGTTTGGTAGTTTCACCGTCGATATGATATTTTGAACGTATCCTCCGGAGCTAACAATACGTTAAAAAAAGCGTGGATGTAAACGTCGCACATAAGTCATCAAAGCTCATAGCTACAGGTCTATCCATTTTTTGCATGTATTTCTTCTATTTTTTCTCATGCGACTTTTTTCTCTCCATGATTTTTTCAGGAGAAAGCGTAGCCGACACTAGCACGTCCTCTCCTGACGTCGTGGGGCCTGGCTCACCCTGCGTCAAAATGGAAATTGTCAGGGCATCACCAAGTCCTGGCACCATTCGTGACAGGTATGTACCTACCCGTCATTAAATATTCATTCTCTCTCGTGTTTTTAGACAGAGAGCTTTTTCAGCTCACTGAATTTATTTTGCATGCCCTGTCAACATTATTGAGAATACTCCTTTAACGATTATATTATTTGAACCTTCTATTATCAAAATTTCAAGATCTTTTTAATGTAATGTAATGGTTTAGTTCCGCATAAGCTATATTTCTTAAATCATTATTCCTCTTATAATGAATTTACCATCACGAGGATGTAAACCACAATAATATCCAAGAGTGGAAACCTAAACCTTAAATAGAATTGCAACACAGTTTCCCTGAGTCAGTTTTATAGAATTGCAACACAGTTTCCCTGAGTCAGTTTTATAGAATTTCAACACAGTTTCACTGAGTCAGTTTTTTAGTTGCCGAACGTTTGGGACAAAAATTTCGTTTCTGGTTTCAGGACGGCGTCCCCGGACTCAGTTCTACCGGAACTCCCGTCGCCGGTCGAAGAGGAGCGGACGGTGAAATCCATGTGCATCAAAGAAGAAAGGATAAGCGATAGTCATTTAGAAAGGTGCCTGAAAGTAAAGCAAGAGATCAACAACAGCGTCTTCGACGGAGGCGGAGACAGGCAACGAGCTTCCCCTCAACAGACACTCCTGCTCATCCAACACCACCACTCGCACCTCCAACCCCAGCAACAGCTGCAACAGAACCATCGGCAAAACCAACAACAAAACCAACATCAGCAGCTGCAGCCAAGTCCCCAGCAACAGCAGCAACAGCAACAACAGCAGCAGCAAAATCATCATCAACAACAGCAACCTACGCAGCAGCAGCAGCAACAAGCACCCCCGCCGCAAGCGCAACAGCAGCAGCGGGAATCGGTCGTGACGCCGAACTCGTGGGCGTTGGTGGCGCAGCAGGGTGTGGTGGTCTCAACGATGGCCAACAACAGGCTCAGCGGAGAGAGGTGCGAGGCGGCGAAAGAGCAGCTGAGCTTCGAGAGCAGGGTGGCGACCCCGATCCAGAGGCGGGAGTCGGTGCTCACCTCGAGCGCGAGCCCCTCGTCGCTCTCGCCGAGCACGACGTTCTGGGTCTCGACGGTGGCGCCCGGGACGAGGGTGAGTTCGCCGATGGTGAGCTCGCCGATGGTGAGCCCGGTGACGACCCCGATCGCCCCGAGCGGCGGCCGCATCAACGGCGTCCGCCCGGAGCTCATCGGCGGCGCCAACTACTGTGATCAGATGAAGCCCCCGCTCTCCTCGCCTCAACTCAAGCCGGTCACCACCAGCGTCCGCACAACGCCCACCGTCATCATGGGAGAGGCCGGCGGCGTGAGGACCATGGTCTGGTCCCAGCCCAACGAGTCCAACCAGCAGCAGCAACAACAGCAGCAGCAGCAATCGCAGCAGCAGCAGCAGCAACAACAACAGCAGCAGCAGCTCCACTCGCCGCAGCAATTGATGGTGGCGGCGTCGACGTCGTGCTCGTGGTCGCCGTCGGCCTCGCAGTCGCCGCTCTCGACGGGGACGATGGGGAACAGCGAGGAGTCGGCGGCCCAGCTCCTGCTCAACCTGGGGCAGGAGCAGCAGCAGCTCAGCCTCCGCCCGTACTCGGTGTTCCCGGCGCCGCTCAACATGGAGAAGCTCTGGGCGGGAGATCTCTCTCAATTGCCCGCCTCGCAACAGATCCAGGCGCTGAACCTGAGCTCCTACGGGGCCGGGCCGCCGAGCTCCTGCTGGCCGGTGCCCTACATCAAGGCCAACGGCGACGCCCACGCGGCCGGGCACGCCCTCAACCCGGGCCCCGTCGTCCAGAAGATCCACGAGGAGACCGAGGAGGACGAGCAGCCCATGATCTGCATGATCTGCGAGGACAAGGCCACCGGACTCCACTACGGCATCATCACTTGCGAAGGGTAAGACCGCCACAGTGACCACTACCCCCTTCCATCCCCAACTCCACACACCCAAGTAGCATTTTTCAATGTAAAAGTTGCAACAAGTTGAAACAATGTTGGTATTAGTTGCAACAAAGTTGCAACTTTCGGTCAACTTTTGGTCCATAAGTGCCCATTTTCGGGGATCTGATCGGAAGACAAAGTTGCAACCTGCTGAGATTGCAAAATTGCTGCACCAAAGTTGTTTAAACTCTAAAGATAGGCAACTAGCAATACTTTGAAGTTGAAACATGTTTCAACTTAATTGCAACTAGTTCCGACAATGATAGCTCCTTCGGGGGAGGGAGTAAGCAATCTGCACGTCAAGACATCAATCTATTAGTTGCAAGAATCAAACGATTTTGTTGCAAGTTGTTTCAACCTCTGCTACTTGGGCAGAAAGAAAACAATGATAGTGGGTGTTCAATTTTCTGGCTAAATGCGAATCTCAGTTCATCTAGTAGTCACTTTCAGGTAGTGTCAACTCAACATCCGGTAGCTTTATTATACATCATAGTTAACACCGACAGGAATCTGCTGCTGGCTATCAAATGCCCATGCACGGAAAGAATAGCCTGTTTTTCTCTGAAACTAACACCACAGCTAATTAAAAACGATCTCTTGGTTAAGGCCTTAAGGGGGAGGGGGGGGGGTCTTCGAGTCCATCTCTGTATCCAGATATCCAGTCGAGCTCTCCATGCCAAGATAGAGAGCATACATCAGGGGGGTCGTCTCGATTCCAGCCGTGAATCCTCTACACAAAGCGGCAACCCCACTAATGTATTAGCTCCCTATTCGTGCATTGACTGGATAAAGAGCTGGGCTCTCGCGTAGCGCGCGGGATCCTCGCCACTGCAGCCTCGACTTAGAGGGATATTTTGAGCTTGGGGGTTCGTTTTAGAGAGAACCAGTGGTGCCATCGTGTTTCTACCGAAATTTTACACAAGTTGTGCACCTACCAGTCGGCTCTGAGTTAGCGCCGACAAAACTTCCAATAACCGGCTTTGCTCTTAGTTTTTGTGCCAACTCCTCGAAGACAAAGTGCCCCATGGTCTAACAGAAGTAGAGGAGGTACCAACCCATAACTCGACTGCTTAGCCAGATAAGTTATAATAAACGGGCCTTCTTTTTTCTTGATAGGTGCAAAGGCTTTTTCAAGAGGACCGTGCAGAATAGGAGAGTCTATACTTGCGTTGCAGATGGCATCTGTGAAATCACCAAGGCCCAAAGAAACCGATGTCAATATTGTCGCTTCAAGAAATGTATAGAGCAAGGAATGGTATTACAAGGTTAGTGTTTTATCGCTGTCACTTTTATTTTCAAAAAACTGTTTGTATGTATGTTTATACTTTTCCTTTTCTTGCGCCATGACACCATCCCCCCCCCCTTCCTTTTCAAAGTGAAAAAGGATAGAGTTGAATCTCCTGAATTTAAGTTGCTTCCACGAAGAAAATTCGAACACAAAATTATTTGCTGAGGCCAAATAATTACGAGGTATGAGTGAATCCTAAATAATCGTATCCTATCCTACCATAAATTAAAATCGTAAGGCTGAAATTGTACACGCTGTTTGTACCACAGTATAATTATATCGGGGGTGAAACTAGTAGATCACGTAGGTATCTAGTTTGTGATGTTTAAAAATCACTGCTCCAATTTTATTTTTTGGAAGGAGAGCAAATCAATATCATTCCTTGAGATTTACACAGAGTTTTCTTCGCTTGGAGAAGAAAAATCACGGAAATTTTAAAGAATTGATGTTGAGAAGTTTTTCATTTAAACAATAAAGTATGACAGGAAATCTGCAACGTCGCAAACCGAGATGCGTGGTTTGGTAGTTTCACCGTCGCTATGCAACCCGTATGCCGAGTTCGTCATTTGGAAAGCATTTCAGCTTGTTAATATCGCGTTACAAATCTGTTCAACACGAACTTCCGAATAGTTTACCGATGAAGGCGTCACTCTCAAGGAAAACAATAATTTTCGCACCCTTTCCCTATCGCGAAAGCCGCAGGCAGGTATCAGATTTCGCCTGCAAAATTGAGAGTATGCAACCCGGCCCACCGCAGAGTTAAAATAGTTGCATGTTGGGTTCGAACCCAACTACGAATATTCCTCTTTCGTTTTAAGCTCCGCCTATTAGGTATTCAACGGCTGAGTTCATCTTTCGGAACGGCATCTCAGTTGGTTTATATCGCGTTAATTTTTTTTTTAAAAAAAATTAATTTTTAAGTTAACTGAGAAACCTACAGGAAATTATACAGGATATTCTTGGATGACTCCGATTTCAAAGGGGGCAATGGAACTTGAAGAAACGAATTTTCAATTAAAAATCGTGTTACTTAAATTAAGTTTTTGAAGGAGAGAAAGGGCTGGGAGAAGGCTCATTCCGCTTCTTGTAGAAATAACGCGAGCCAAAAATATTAGTTTCTTATCGGAAAATGTAGTCAGATTGTTCAGTCTTCTTCTCATATAATCATGCCGCGATGCTTTCAATTGTTTTTGCTGAATTGTATTTTTTAAACTTTCTCGATACTTTTCATTAGGCTGGCAGTGACACTTATATCCGGGGTCAGGCTGCCAGGGGGCGGACCCCCCAGTCTCCATTAATATTGGACTTAGAAACTTTTAACAGATGCCACAGTTTTTCCTGGAGCCCAGCCGCCAAGCGGCCAAGCCTTTGAGTTTGAATGTGAAGAATTGAAACAAATGTGCTGTGTACCTATACCATGTTGTAATCTGATGTATAGAGGAATAGAAACCAACTGTCGCGGCGCACTCCTGCTTGATCACTGATTTAATTCTGTTTGTTAACAGCTGTTCGAGAGGATAGAATGCCTGGAGGTCGGAATTCTGGAGCTGTTTACAATTTGTACAAGGTACGTTTCAAGAGATTCCGGTTTTTGCAACTTATAGGTCAATTAGCTCCCCGGATGTTTTGCATCAAACATTCAGTCCCAAATTAGGACATGTTACATTTCTTGGAAGGAGCGCTCTTATCTAAAGGAAAAAGTGTTGTATACCAATGGCTGCATTCGGAAAGTGCATATTTTTGATCGTGACGATTTAAATCTTTGCTCAATTTTTTTTTTTTAAATTTTCCCAAAGAAAACCAACCAACAGTTTTTCTTGAAATTTTCTGTGAATTTTCTTCACTGATTCAAACTTTTTCACAGAAAATTCCGAGGAGGTATTTTAACTGCTTGGTTTTTTTTTTTTTTTTTTTTTTTTTTTTTTTTTTAAAGATAGAAATGTAGTCGCAGAGATTTTGAAACATTGCAATGCAGATACGCATTATTTTACTTCAATTAACGATACATTGTTTGTTACAAAGAGTAGGTACTAGAAGTCTAGAGACAAATATACCTAAGGGAAGCATTCCAAACAAAATGGTCCTAAATATATCTCAGTTTGAGGCTCTGAATCATTTTTAGAAGTTTTGTTTCGTTCATAGTTTTATAGTTAGCAAGAGTTTAAGCCATTTTTGAGACCCTGTTATTTTTTCATTTCAGTTGGGTAATATTCATTATTCATTCTTTAAATTTTGCAGACCAGTTGGCATTAGAAATGCTATAATGTGATAATCTTGACCTTGGATTCTACTTACTTTTTACTCATTATGCTCATCTGAAAGATTGAAAGATTTCTTTAAGGAGTGCAAGTGCCCTCAGGCACCATTACCTACTCAATATAATTTTCTAAAATAACCTTCATCCAGATCAAAGGTATCTAATACCAAGTAGCTCTTTTCTTAAAATTTTCTACGCGCGTCCATATGGAACAGCTCTCTTTCTCTGACATTTTAGACGTCATCCACGAAACTTTGCTAAAACTCTATGAATTTTTTATGTCTCTTCATGCTAAATTTTTCAATTTGATTACAGGTTAAGTATAAAAAGCATAAGAAGAATACAAGAAATGGGCAGTTAAAACTTGAGGGTAAGCCAAACAAAGGACCAGAGCCAACCATTCCTGCGCATCTTGTCAATGGCACAATTCTTAAAACTGCACTAACTAATCCGAGTGAGGTAAGTTAAAATTCTAACAAATTTTTCCTTTTTTCGGCTAATAGATCCTGATTTTGTGGAAGAAAAGAGCAAGCATTTGCTTCATGAGGAAAGCACAGGCACGCCTATTGTCCCTGTTCAAATTAATTTACTACCATACCTACATTTATCTCTTATTTATAAGTACGTTTGTCATTGCTTGTTGTAAGCCAAAATGATTAATATTTCTCTTCTGCCAAAGCTTATTCTCACAAGATTAAAGAGCAACAATCAAACTATATCAAAGTTTCAATTATACCTAGCTGTTTTTATAATTCAAAATTTTATCATATTTCTACAGGTCGTTCACTTGCGGCAAAGGTTGGATAATACTGTCAGCTCGTCGCGTGATCGAAACTTAACACTCGATGCCACCCTGTCAATGATACAGGGCTTAGTAGACTGTGATGAATTTCAAGATATAGCAACTCTTCAAGTAAGCATTCACTCTACAGTATCCCCATTTTCAACCATAACTAATTGAATCTTTCATCTATTGATATGGATTCAATGGGCAAATTTGGAACTAAAGTAGCAATTCCAATAAGGAAAGCAGTTAAAGTCAATTTTTGTGTTTAGAATAGACTAAGAGCTCCACAAGTATTCGAAATTATGAACTCATTAAATTCTATTTTGCTCCCAGCTCATTGAAACTTTTTTTCCATCAGCTGGAATGAATATTTTTATCGACTTAGGCGGTTGTAAGCGGTCAAGAGAACAATTTTAAGTTCTTTCATTTTTTCCAGTTTTTTCACTAGCAAGAGAAGCATGAAGGAATCACAGATCAGAAGATGCCTTAAACCAAAGCACCTATACTCAAGTGCTACTTGTCAAAAAATGATAGTTGTACAAAATGAGGTACCAAAAGCCTCACTTGTTATTCTTTATTTCCAGTAGTGAATTTGCATTCATAATTTTTTGGTTTTTGTGCCAATATTATGGCAGAATAAAATTTGCTTTGCCTTTCATTTTTTTAAAAGAATATCTGAAGGTGAACCCATACTATTCCCTGAAAGAACTTAGCGAAAATAGTCAGTAAGATCTGCTAAGAAATTGTATAATGACGTGTATTTTTAGCCCACAAAAATTGTAGGCTCCATGTAAAAAATGTAAACATAAAAATAAAATAAAAAACAAAAATAAAGAGAATTTTGCAAACTTGGAAGTTGGAAAATTGTCAAATAGCTTGATTCACTGTTCTGCTTTTAGTAATGAAAATATTTTTTTTCTTTCGCAGAATCTGGATGATCTTCTGGAGCATAAATCAGATTTATCTGATAAACTAATGAAAATAGGAGATTCAATTGTTTATAAATTAGTTCAATGGACGAAACGGCTTCCTTTTTACTTAGAATTACCTGTAGAAGTAAGTATTTCATGTTTCATCTCACATTTTTGAAAATCTCAAAAGGTGCCTGTTTATTTTTGGTTTAAATGAAAGGAAAGGGAGAAATCTCTATTTGTGTGGGGTGAGGCTATAATTTTTCAGAAATTAATTTTGGCCTCTCGAAGGTCTGATCCCCCTTCCTTCAATTTTAAGAAGTTAAATTTTTTCAAGATAAAAAATGAAAAAAAAAAAAGAAAAAAAAAAAAAAACACTCAAAATAACTTGTCTGAGCACTAACTTCCAATTAATTTGATCCATTAATGTTGCTGCAATGTTTTAAGAAAAAATGAAGTAAAAGTAAAGAAGCAAATTATTTTTTCAAACTTTGAGAGGGGGGGGGGATAGTAAGGCTGTGTAGTTTTCGATGTAATGTTATATATACCCCAAAAAAGTCCTTTTTGACCCATGGAATCAATGCTGGAAATCAAACCCTCACTTGTAACTCTGAATCACTAGCTGCAATCTTGAAAAGACCAGGAGTAGGAGATTGTATTTCTAAGACATCTTTTTGGAATTGTCTCTAATAAAGCTAAGTGCTCTTTTTTGTAATTTTCTCTTATGACTCATTATCTCTTGGTTTCAGGTACATACGAAATTACTAACTCATAAGTGGCATGAGCTACTCGTACTGACAACATCTGCATATCAAGCAATTCACGGAGCTCACAAACTCGGTTCCACTAGCACTGATGGCACTGAAGCGGATTTCACGCAACAAGTGAGTCCCACGCGATTTTTCATTGAACTTTTACCGTTTGAAATCCATTGTTTCATTTCTGTGTGTAATATTTTCAACCATTCGTAGTAATTTCTCAAAAGGCAATTGAAAATATTTTATTCCTGTAACTGCCCCTCCCCCTCCTTACTGAGGATGTGAAGCCCCTCCTCAAACAAAAGTGTTCTTTATTTTTGAAACTCGAGATATCTCAAGCTTCTCTGGGTACAAAGCATACCTCAAATAAATAGCCGTTTTTAGAAATACATTTATAACAATTTTTAGAGGTCTCTTAAAGAGTGGCGTGAAGGGCAAAAGCTTCAGTATGGAAAATGAAACAAGCAAAAATCAAATTCTATGAGATACCATTAAGCTGTGGCTCTCTGGGCGAAAATTTTGTCTGGCTGTATCCACAAAAGGGAAGCCACTAACGTTCATTGAATTAACGTTCAATTGATTCATTTTTTCATGTCCTGTAGCTTTTTGCAAGTTGTTGACTGTAGGGTCAAAATTTCGTCTCTTTAAATGCACCTATCTTCTAACATTTAGTCAGGAAAATGATTTGCCCAAGGGGGGCGCCAAATGTTGTCTTTCGTGCACTTCATGCTGCAATATGTTTTGATTTTATAGTTCAACTCAAATTTTTCCTCAGGTATCAAATAATTTATGCACACTACAAACGTGTCTGACATCAATGATGGGGCGACCCATTACGATGGACCAGCTCAGGCAAGATGTTGGACTGATGGTCGAAAAAATCACACATGTTACCCTTATGTTCCGCCGCATCAAACTACGTATGGAAGAATATGTCTGTTTGAAAGTCATAATAATGCTCAATCCTTGTAAGTGTACATTCTTTCCTACATCCTTGGAGTAAACTTGAAATTTGGTGTCTTTCACATACATACCCCAAAATTTTACAGAAAGAACAATCAAAACGATGCTCATTCAAAAACAATCATTCACTGAAAATAGGAAGTGAAATTTTAAAATTAAGACACCTATAATGGAAACTTATTTGAAGGTAATTATCAGTGCTTTGATTGTTTCTAACAGTGCATACGTTTCTTTCAGAGATTTATCATTCAAGCTCAGTCTTATTTGATCAAAATAACAATTTATCAACCAGAAACTAATGACAGCCATTCAGGGCCTTTTAAATCAGTGGATAAATATATTACGAATATTGAACATTAATAAATTGGAACTTTCTCCGTTTTTAAGCACTCACACTTTTCAATTTAAATTTTTAAATATCATAGGTACATTTAAAAATAGTCCAGGGAGCTCAAGAACAAGTAGTGAGTTTTTAAAGAAGAAGATTTTAAATTTCTTGATTTTCACTAACTAAAAATAATCTCTTGTCTCGTTCTTATTATTGCTCACCTCAATATTTATTGTAATTTTTTTTGTTTTTTTCTTTTCAGCTAATCGAGCAGGAACTAGTGAATTAGAATCAATACTAGAAAGATATATGAGTTGTTTGAAGACTTATGTAGAAAATACAGCTCCTCAGCAGCCTAATCGTTTTCACGATTTGTTAGTACGTCTCCCTGAGGTAAGAATAGCACGTTTTGTGGGTGAATCATTCAAGTAATTCATACCTGTCCGATAATTTTTAAAGTAATTTTCCAAGTTCACAGCAAGAACTACTTGCTCTCTGTTAATTCCCCCCTTTTTTTTCTTTCTTCAGTAATATTTTAACCCAAGTAGCACAGTGCAACAAAAATATTGAAATTAAATTGAAATTTAATTTCAATAAAATTGTAATTTTTTTACTATTAAATTGCAATATCTTTACATCATTTAGTCAATTTATGCCAATTTTAAGCAATCAATAAAATGAGCTTCAAGTGTCAGAAAGATAGGCAATTTGCAATGCATTGAAAAATTGCAACTTATTTCAATTTTACTGGAATAAGTTTCCATAAATGGGGCCCCTTCAAATAGGAGTTAGGCAACATACACAACACTTAATGGAATTGCAAAATTTTTACTCCGCAATTGCTACTTTTTGCAATCTGTGCTTCCTGGGAAGGTAATATACAACGATCAATACACTCAACACATCTAGAAGCAGTGTGATTCTTTTGAATTGCTGTAACCGTCTTTAAGTTTTGATCAATCACTTGTGCTTTCCACTAGAGTTTCAATTTGAAGATCATAAATGCTAGATGCATTATTTTGTTTAGCCAACACATTTCTCCCTATTAGTTCCTTGTTTATAACTCGTCATCTTTCCTCTTTTCTTTCTTTTTCTTTCTTTTTCTTTCTTTTTCTCAATTATTTAAGTAATCATCTCATTCATCGTCTAATTAACTTGTCTCATCTCTTCTGTTTTAGGTGCAGTCTGCAGCCTCGTTATTGTTAGACAGTAAAATGTTTTATGTACCATTTTTGTTAAATTCTACCATTCAAAGGTAGTAGGTAGTGAATCACGGAATTGTTTAAAGTCTGTATAATTTGTACATTTCATAAAATTTTAGCAAATTACTACCATTTGTCTTGTGAGCATTTGAATTTTCCAAGAAGAAAAAGAAGAAGTAAAAATATACCTTTTATTCTTTCCGCCTGTCTCATAAGAAATCAATTTATCCTGCCAAAGTGAAATTTCAGCCGTCGGGCTGAAAACATTTTAGTTATAAATTTAATTTAAGTTCAAGCTTAACATATGTATGAGATAACTACCATTTTTGTGTTGCCGTTGATCTAGTTACCATTATTTATTTTGTAAGAAACTATCTCAGTAAAGTTTATTTAGTTTTCCAAGGTTTACCTGCCTCTGGGCCGACTGTTTTTATAACTGACGAATTTAAATTGTAGCTATATAAGCGGCATGCAATTGAAATCCAATGTTCCCCATTCCGCCATTTTTACCTCAAAATTTTCGATCTAAACTCTTTTTCAAACTTCATCTCTCAACTTTTCTCCAAGTACCTAATAGTATCATTACCTTTCCAACGTTGAGTCTATTAAATAAACTTGATGATATACCTTCTATATTAGAAGTTCTTCTCACTTTAATTTTTTCTGTGAAAAATATTATTTAGAGTGTAAATAAAACTCTTAAAATCAACTTTAATTTTAACTCGTTAACCGTACGAATAGTAGATTGTAATAATATGATAACGATTGTGAAAAAAATCATTACACTTAAACATCTACTTTTGCGCTTAGATTTTATTTCTTTACAGAAATTTGCTTTACAATTAAGTCGGTCAAATAAAATAAAATAGCTTTTTTGTTCAACTAAAGGTTTGTTGAGTGGCCTAACGTAACCTTTCTAAAATCAGAGTGCGGTCAGTTTAATTTTAAAAATTCATTATCAATGGTTGTAATTCACAGGAGCTAACTGATGCACTCATCTTAAGTGGCAATATCTACTTCACAAATGTAACGTTAATCAGTATCTACGTAATCCCACATCATGAAAGAAATTCCAGTATGTAAAATGAACGGGGGAAAAAAACAAACAATACCTGTTTACTTTTTTGCCATGAAATTCTATTTATTCGCAGTTTTTAAAAATCTCATTAAGGAACTAAAAGTATGAAAAAAGAGGCACCGAATTGAATATTTCAGTATTGTCATTAAATTAATGTTTGTTGTGGATTTCAATCATTTTCATCGATAGACAAGAAATGATCAAAGAAGTGCTTTATGGTCTGTAGATTTAATTCAAGTGTTATCATTGTTTTTGTACCTATAATACTATTCTTTTTCATCAGTAGTTTTTTTTGGTTTTTTTTTTTATTACAATTCTTATAATTACTTTTGTAATTTTTGAATCCAGCTTTCTCACTGCCATTAAAGCTTGGAAATTTAAAATTACCATTTGTCACACCCTTTTTTTCTATTTCATATCATTAAATATCAAAAGCAAGTCAAATTGGAATAGGTATTGTACTTTTTATTAACCTGTTTTTTTTTTTCATTTTCCCAAAGCTTTTTTCATTTTTTTAAGTCCTTGTTGACTTATTAGATTACCATATATTTTTGATTGGTTCAAATTGATGTGCTTGTAAAACTAGAATTACAAACTTAATTGTTGTATCACTTAAGAGAATGAGAAAATAGCCCCAAACTGCTGTCTCATTTCAGCTCTGTCCCAGACCACAGGGAATCTCTACACCCCCCCCCCCCCCCCNATTCTCTCTTTTTCTAGCTTGTTCAATTCTCATCTCAGTTGAGTTAGGTAATGTAAATTAGTTGACTTTATTTCTTACCAAATCAAATTATTGATCGAATCAGTTGGTTTTTGTTTTTATATATTCTGAGGCTTTGGAAAAGTAGAAGTTCCTAAGTTTTTCAGTTATTTTCGCTTTGATTTTAACTTTAAAATTCACCCTCTCTTTTGGAACTGAGAAATTGTTCCTCTTGAAAGTTATTATTACCTTTTTTCTGTAATTTAGGAAACTTTGAGTTACTTATGTAGAGTCATTTTAGATCACTCTCCTGGGTCTACCCCTTACTTTTCACCGGGAAATATTCAAACACTTCAAAGCATGTCATTAACTATGCCCTCTCTAATTTTTAAATATATTTACCCGTTATGTGGGGAACTTGCCCTTATATGTTTTTCATCAAAATTGTTCAATTTGTTTTTTTGAAGAAATTCAAAGAGAAGAGAGTGCCTCTATTGGCACTTATGATCTCAGTTTTCAACCGAAAAATTTGGATGAACCATACTTAGTATCAAGTGCCATAATCTAACTTGGACTTGTTTCAGTGTTTGCAGGCAAGATATTGTTTTGAAGTTGATCAGGAAAAGAAAAGAGAGAGAAAAAAAAACCCTGTAAAATAAGGCAAAAATGTGTCCATTAGGACAGTGGATCATCAACTAACATAAGGTTACCTTCTTCCACCCCCTTCCTGCCATCTCCTTCATTTTCTATCTATTCTTTTTTTAAAAAAAAGCTGACTTTTTTTCTCTCACATTGCCATACATCAAGGTAAAAGGAATATGCAATCTTTAGTTTTTTCCTGTCCAAACAGTTATGGAGGACATTTTGCATTAAAGATTCATAGATACAGTCTGATGAAATTTGGAGGAGTTTTTCCCTTACATTATCTTCCTGCTCTCTGTGACCAGTTATTGGAAGAGATCATGGTTTTACCCCCTGCATGCAGAAGTTGTAGGACCAAATGTTCCTTGTATAATCGTCCATGTGTTCTTAAAAGTTACCTTGTTCTGTTACTGTCTCTTTCATTTTCCCACCCTAAAAATGTGGATGAAAGCAACTTCAAAATCCCCCCCCCCCTTTAAAGAAAAAAACAAAGGAAAGAGAGAAACCTTTTCAGGGTTGTAATTTTGACTACAGCATGAAAATATTTAAATGCAAAATCCAGTAAATAATTCTGTAAAAAGACGCATAAAACCTCTAGAATATTGTCAATTTCATGTTTAACACCTTAATATTCAAAACGTTTATTCATCAGTTTTCCATGGAGTAATTTTGTGACACCACTTTGATAACAAAAGAAAATAATAGTCTTTCAATAGATATAGAAATGAGAATAAAAAGCAGGAGTGTGTGAACCAGTCCCTGGAGATGATTTTAATTTGGCTCATAATGGATATACATGGACACTGTATTCTGTATGTTTATTTATTAAATGAGTCATCTCCCTTGTGTTCTGTTAATTTATTGCTTCTTTCTTGTTTTATTTCGTTAATTTCTCAAGGAAGTGCAAGCTCTTTTTAAAGGCTATCTTCTCAAATACTACAGCGTTTATAGGTATTTGTTATAACTATGACCTTTTCTTGTAAATACTTATGAGCGCATAACTGCACCAAGAGCTATACCTAGAGGTAAATATTTAATCCTTTCCATGCATTTGTGTGTGCATTTGTACATAGTCCTTCAAACTTTGGTACATGCGTATCAAACAAGGTGGTGAAAAATTTACCAGTTAATTTGTACATAAATACCTATTAAATTAACAATTTACTTCGTTTCTATGTAATTGATTAGTGTTACCATTTTTAAGTCAGTCTAATTGTTTTTTTTTTTCTTTTCTTTTCTCCTTTTTTTTACCCTCTTAATTTTTTGCCCATTCTAACAAATATTTTTGTCTGTTACCAATTATTATTATTTTCTTCTTTTTTTTCAATTTTAAAACAAAGCTTTGTTTAATGTTTCTTAAAAACTTGTTTATTTTCATTTCTCTTTCCAATGAGGAGTCATAATTTCATTTCTCTTTACCTGTACTAAAAATGATCAGTGCTAGATCCCCAAAATCAAATACTTACCGTCAAATGTAGGAGTGCAGAATGATATACTTACATAGTCTCATTTTTCTCAAAATTCTTCTCTCGATCATCAGCTTGAACTATTTAAAACATGTATACATTTCACCTTTTTGTCTATTACATGTGTTGTATCAGTTTTTATTTATTTCTTTATTTATTTTTATTCGTTTTTCATCATGAATTTCTATGTAGAGCCATTTTGTCAGCATACAACTGCCCCAACAATTTTGACCTTTTTTCCGTTTCAATGATAAAGCTTAAGTGATGGCTCTTCAATGAACGTGCATTTTTAAATGGTCCAATTAGGTGCAATTTGGTATTAGAAGCAAGGAGCATGCAAAAAACTTGTTTGATCAGAAAGGACCTGTAAGTAAGTTGTCATAAATGTTGGGGCCCTTGGGACAAATATTTTCACACGGATACTCACAATCTCCTCGCTAAAGTCCAGCCTACTCAAATGTTATATCTAATGCTATTGTATGCGTTATTTTTTATAAACAAACAATCTCTTATTTGGATAAGCTTTTTTTTCTTTTTTTTGAAAAAAAGGGAAAAAAGAAAAAAAATCTTATCAATTTTGAATTATTTTTAGGAACTGACTTTAATCTTAATGTGATTTCTGGCCTTCTTTTATACAAATATTTTTTAATTTAAGCATTGCTTAAGTAGGTAATCATTAATATGAGACTGAAGAATTGTAATAATAATTTGAAAGAAATCTTTCAAAACTTTGAAGAAAATTAAGAGGCTAGGTGGTTCTGCCGAATCAAGGGAAGAAGAATGTGGCTCCACATATTTTATTCTTTTCAATCTATCTTATTTATATTTGTTCCTAAGAGGCATTTTCAGAACCAGCATGTTCATACGATTCAAAAGCAAACCTGTATAAATACCTTTTCATTTGCACTCAACAATTCATTTTTCAAACTGGATATATTTATATTCAAAAGAATATTGGCATTTTTTTTGTTCAAAATATTAGTATTGTGATATATGATACCTTATTTGAAACGGTATTCAAAATAATTTTAAATAAAATGACTTTTTGAAAATAATACAATTTTAAGTATTAAATTATTTTTAAATTAATTAATGTTGTTAAGAGTCCATATAAGTATCAGGAAACACGATTAAACTTTTGAACACAAGTGACTGATACATGTGCTACGATCAATGACTGCAAATTACAAGTTTGAAATTCAATGAATGAAATCGTAAAGCAGTAAAAGCTCAAATATTTTATAAGAAAAAAGGAGAGACATTATTTTGTTACCGCATCATGATGTTAAAAGTTATGAGTTTTACAAATATCAAAATGTCAAATGTTTAACAAAAGTCTTGTCGAGAATTACATCAAATTTACCAAATTTTAGCCGGTGATTGGAAGATTAGATCATCTTCGTCTATCTTGCACTGTATAAAGTGTTGATGTAAATCTAAGATATGCTCCCAAGGCATCTCACCAATGAAAAAGCGTTTCCAGAAGCAATATATCGTATTGATGAATGCGTTTTTTATCTAGGAGAAGGAAATTCCTCTCGAAAACTGTGCACAATAAGATCTCATCATTCTCAAACTTAGGTGATAGCTGTCACAATGAGTCAATGAAATATTTGCTCTAAGTTTTGTGAAAATCACATTTTTCATACTCAGTTTTCTTGGTTGCTCTGCAATACAAGTTGTTTTACAGCTTCTCCAAATATTTTCCTCCCTTAAAACCATTCAATTTTTGTTTATTTGTTACGCAGGATTTTACTTCTGCACCGGAATATGAAAAAGTAACTTGTTACAGTTGGACATGTTTTGTAAATCAAATAGGAACACAAGACAGGACGTAAGGAAAGGAGGGTCAAGCATAGGTTCAGAAAGTCTTTGTCATCAAATCACTGCCGTTCCATTTTATTTGAATTCTGCTGAAATATTTGAGGAAAGCACTTTGAGGAGCAATCATTACCTTTTTGATTTCACTCACTAAATCTCATAAGAGTGTCTCGAAACTAGTGAGCCCTTCTATCCATGCACACCAACTTATAACTTTTGATTCTGTGATCAGCTGAACTTCTCAACTGCTGGCTTAAAATCAGAGCTTTTGGTATTCGTCTCTCATGCTATGGATCAATTGATTTTACCTTGTTTCCATGAAGTTTTTTGCACCAAAAAAGGAAAAGACCTAACCAATTTGCGAATGATTTCACTAACATAAGCAGAACTTAACGAGTGTGCATCATGATTGGATTGTATGGTTTGAAAACTTGTCATTTCATTTTTATAAAAACGTCCTATCGAATTGATCCTATTTAAGGCCTGTCATCGGCAGATTTTGATATCCACAGAAAATATGCATTTAGAGGATATAATCACTTGTCTGGATGAGAGGGGCAATTAGAATAGGGTCAAGCTTGATTTGGAGGGGGTAAAGGAACAAGTTCTAGAATAAGTAGCTGAGGTAGCTTGTTTTTGAACTCTGCAATTCATTTTCTTCTCCTTTTTCGATTCAGCTTCATTCCTCTGGAGAATTATTTCTTTGTCACTTAAATGCCTATTCACTATCGATTTTTGTACTGTACTTGGTAAATTTTCTATTTTCCTACCCTCTGTTCAGGAAAAACTTTACAATTTTTTGGAATACATATAATGGAAAACGAAACTCTAAAAAAATTGTGACTTAAAACTCAATGTGAGTGAGAACTTAACTTCTCTGAAAGCTTGTTAGTCACAGCTTTTCCGATAGCTTTCAATGGCTCTTATACTATTTTCACCAAAATTTTTCTCCCGTTTTTCCTTCACTCGCTTCATTCCTCTTCAACTCAATTCCCCATTCCTGATGTGGAAACTTTGTTTTCCTCCAAATTGCAATGCAGACAAACCTTTGTTCAGGGACATCTAGGTGTAATGATTTGCTCCAGATTTGAGCAAGTAGGGTCAGAACGCTGAACCGGCAAGCTGTAAGTCTGACAGTAATAACTTTCAATGACTCAACCAATTATTTCTAAGGAACAAAAGAAATTAAATTCAACTTTTATGAACATTTCACCTCAATGGGCCCCTGATAAGTTGGTGAAATATGTGAATGCTGCTTTGCCAGATGGGGACTACCTATGTGCTATATACCTCTGTAATTCCCTATAAAAGATGGAAATTGATAATTGTAGGTTCTAATCAGGCCAGCTAAAATGAAACTAAATAAGAAGATAAAAAAAGGTACGCAGAGCTTGAATGTTTCAAACTTTCAACACCATTTACTTTACTATATAGATTTTAAATTAATATAGTTGGCCAATGGCTGACCATATAATTTTATTTGCTCCTTCTTCCATAGAAGTCTCATTATGGATGCAAGCAGTCAGTTAACAATCATACGGCTACATTTAGATCATATAGAAACTTCAATGATTAGTCTGTAGGCAGATTATTAATGAAAAGTGAGTGTCTACATTTTGTTGACTGGTCAATGCCTAAATGTTGTCCACAATAAACACACACTTGAGCAGGAGCACAATTGATTGAAATAGGATCCCACCTCTTCATTGCTTCAATTCCTTGCTCTTTAAATTACTTTGATTCTTTCATTTGCTTACCATTTATCAATGTTTAAACCTGAGTTCTCTTTTTCCATTCGTAACCAAGAAAATCTCACACAATTCGAATTCTAGTTTTTTCATTAACTCCTATGATAAGGAGAAATGTACATATTTTTGTAAAAAGCTAACATTTAAAACTCCTTTTATGTACACCCCTTAATTTTAATAATATGTATAGTAAATTTTGTTCAAAAAAATCAATCGATTATCTTCTTCTTTTTCTCAACTGTCACCCACACCTTTTTTCTTCCATATTAGTAGGTTACATCTGTTGACTCCTGATATAAAATGGAGGGAGGGGGAATTCATGATAATTGAATGATCACATGAAATTATGAGGTTCAGAATTGATTGCATACAAGTCCTCCGCCTCAGTAAAGATTCCAGGGCTGTGTTTATGATTAAAGGATTTTGACTCCCTAGGCAATTGTTGATTGTGAAAACCAGCCCTCCGCAGAGAGGATACAGGCAACGTTGCTAGTAACAAAGCAGAGTAGTCTCAACACTATTTTTGTAAAATCGTCAAGCAATATTGCAATAAAGTTTTTAGCATTACCTATTTCTGAAACACTATGAAAGGAGCACCTACGTAGTAAAGGTATTGTCAAGCTACTCATGCTATGGTGATACGTTATGCCTCAAAGGCTGGTTCTGCTTGTGAGGTCATAAAGAATGACTCTAAAAGTGCTGTTATCAGAGTGCACACTCACCAACACTGATATGAGTATCTGGATTGTTGATGGCGTTAAACATTGGTTACATACGATCCATAGACATGTAGATTATATATGTCGAAGGCAAGTAGTCACATCAGGCATTTTGTCAAATGCTCAGGCGAATAGTCAAATATTCTTACTTGAATTGAAATTTTAATTTTTTACCCTAATTTTAGACAAAATAATTGGAGGCTCATATGAGAAAGAACTCTCTGTAAAAATATCCAGCATACAATAGTATTTTAAACAATTTTAAGATCTGAATGCACATTTATCATGAAATTTTCAGCACATCATAAAACATAGAACTTTTTAAAATTTTAACATTTAAATTTACTGAAGGCATGTAAAAAGGAAGGAACAAGGAGAGTTCGCAGATTTGAAGAGTTATTCTTCCCAAAATATTGAAAACCCGTGAACTCTCGCCCTAAATTCACAGAATTCCGTAAACTGTCAAAATTTGACTACTGGCTTAGGCATTTGATAAAATGCCTGATTGCCTTCAACATATACATACAAGACATATTATTTGGTCGAAAGTGAGTTTGAATAGCTTAGACCTTTAAGTGGGTAAGCTTAGGTAAGGTTGAATCAGCGACTTTGAGGGTAGACAACAGGATGTTAAGACAGTGCTAGGTCCTCACTAAACTAAGGGGAAATCAAAGCAAGAAAAAGAAAGCCAAAAATTAGAATTAGAGTTTGGATGAACTCAGAAATTCAGTGCAAGACTGAGGAGGAAGAGCATTCATCTCAGGTAGAAGATTCTCAGTTGGGTACCTACAAAGAGACTGGTGCTTGTTTAACTCTTATTTGAGCACATCACTCAGTTACACCCTACTGAGGCCCATTTGGATCGCATTTAGCAAAAAGGAACCAGCACAGGCTTCCCACCAAAAAATTGTTCATTTTAAAAGAAAATAGCTGTGTAAATTTTAATAGTGTACACATATTAAGTATTTTTAAAAGAAACTGAGAAATTGCAGTATTTTGAAAAGACTGTAATCACACTGGTTCCTTTTTGCTAAATGCGATCCAGTCTAACCTCTGGCAAAATCATAGACAGGATTAAAGCACTATCATAGATATAAATGGCAGGAGGCATGACAATTAAGTACGATCTACATGCTATTTGTGACTGATGGTACTCGGTTCATTTTTAAGTGTTTCATACATATGAATATTAAAATTGCAAACTTGCAGTACTTGTTCCTTACAGTATTTAAACATTTCTTTTAATGTTTTATATACAGAAATTAAATTTTATAAACTGGAATTCAATTTGAAATTTTAGTTACGATGGGTAACTTTTCACATTTTTTTTTTAAAAACAGCACTCCTCCTTAATAATTCTGAGAGCCTCAAAGATCACTAAATCATCAACTGAGGAGCAAGATGAAGAAAATTTACCCACTCAGAGTGATTTGTGAGAATCTTCAAAGTTGCCTTAGATAACTTGCAGATGCTGAGGAGGTTAATGGACAGTAGGTAATATGAGCTTAGAATTTCTCAAAATTTTCCCCTATCTTGTTGTCTTCTGCAGTTTTTAGGGCCGAGACAGGGTTTTGTGCAAACTGAACAAGAGAGGAGAAAGAAAACCAATTTTAAATAATTAAAAAAGGCAATAAATCACCATAATTTTATTATTTACAGGCTAGCCCAGATAGTAGATTATAAACACTGAACTTGCTTACATGTATACATTGATGAAGTACTCATTTCTGTTATAACATACCAGAGTCATAATAATTAATAATAAAAAACCTAAATGAGTTGGTGGGTGAGTATGCATGGAGAATAAATGTGTTTAAATTTTAAATGCATTTTATGGTTGTTTCTTTGTGTACAGATAATTAATTTAAGTAAAAAGAAAGACAATATTAACTAAAAATTGTGTACGTAAAAAAATTATTAAAATTAAAAAGAAACGAAAATTCATTTTAGGAGTTAAATTAAGGATAGAATAAAAATAATATCACTTTCATGGATGCTTAATTCCGTATTGAAGCAAGAATAATCATATTTAAATTGTGCACGAACTTCTTGTCATCAAATATATGAAAGCAGATAAGACCTGCAACCATTTGACAATTCACACACAAATACTGGACCTTATGCAAAAGACTAAATGTATAACTTTAAAATACAATGTCAGACTTCATATTCGGAAAAAGTTTGGATAATTGCATATTATAAGGGTAGGAGTCGAAACTATACTTTACGTAATTATAAAATAAAATAAATCTTCTACTTACAAAATTGCTGTCAAAAAGAAAATATAAAAATAAAATAAAGAATTATACATGCGACTGTAAAATATACAATAAACACTAAGTATAATAAAAAATAACAATGAAAAATTTCACTTAAGATAGTTGTTGCAAGGATAGGAATTTTGTTCACATCGACAACTTAGTCAAAAAGGACTTGCTTGAAAAATAAAACTCAGGGCTGAGCTCTGTCAACAACAAACCGTTGTCCTGTTCAGTTCCAACAGCTCAAATTTAAGTTTCTATTTTATGAGATCAACCGGCTTCTAACTATATTGAGCTCAAAGTGCAACCGTAAAATGCAGTAAAGAAAGCATGAATAAATCTAGAAAGAAGAGATGCAATAGTATTTGATTTTACAAGCTTTGTTGAATGATTCATTGGATAGTAACTGCAGAGAAAATTATAGAAAGTATTGAGAATCCTCATTCATCAAGTTCATTATGCATGGATAATAAAATATATACAGATCAAAATAGAACACAGAAATCGTTGCCCTGAAGATGAACTTTGATTGATGAGCTTTCATTTTTTTTTCTTATGCCTTGTCTGCACGGATGCAGTTCACAGAACTTTGGAATGAATTAGTTCAAAGAACTGAGGTATTACAGAATAAGTTATAACTGAGTTATAATCGGTCCTGCGAACTGCACTCAAGCGGAAAATACCTTGAAAGAAGCGCACTAGGCTGGAATTTCCAATTTTGTCTCATAGGGAATGCCTGCCTTCTAGAAATTCTGTCTCCAGCCAATTACAAAGCTAGCTCTGTCTTGTCTTAGTTGGCACATACCTCGTTCACTTGCTGATGAGGGAATCTGATTCATTCAAGTTAATCTCCTGGATTCCTTGCTTGGTGAAAACAAAATTTTATTGGTGATACCAGTCCTGATAAGAGCTTATTCAACAGAAAAACTCGGCACACTGTCTTACTTTTTACCGTGACTCAATTTTGCGGCAACATACTCTAAAGTCTGGGGATTAATCAAAAGAGTTGACTCAATTCGAGTAACTGCGATAAAATCTAAGATTTCTGACCAGATTTTTGAAAACGTTCCCCATCTTCAAAATTAGAAAAAAGGCTCTTGATAGCTGATAGCTTAAATGTATAACCCTCCTGCAACCAACAGGAAGAGACAGTGAATGGTAGAGTATTTCATGTATTCAAAAACTTACAACGATGTTAATCAACTTCTACCCTTAACATTTTTTGACGTATTACCTACTTTTGTTTTTGAGTCATTTGCACCTCTATCATGAGAAACCGGAAACTTGGATGAGAAGTAATGAAACAGAGCACCTTTGGAGCTTCCTCAAAGATGCTTTTGTCTGCCAACCTTCTTATGTAAATGAACCAAAATTCAGTCAGTTCCTTTCTTAAACTGTGCCTTGCAGAACAAGACATTCAAGTCTAGGATATTTTGAATTTTCCTCTAAGTTATCTTCAAAAGCCGGAAGAGAAAGTAAAAAGCTGAGAATTCAATACATACTGCCCAGCAGAATTGTAGAGTAAGCCCAACCCAAGAGTAGCCCTTTAGACATTCTCCACAGTGGATTCCATACAATGATATTTACTCTGACTGAACATACAACTGAAAAAAAACTGATGCTATACTTTAAAAATAAAAAATTCTCCAGGTCAAAAAGAGAGTCTTTAAATTTCATTGTTGGCTTTAACCTACAATAAGAGGGAACATCAACAGAATAATGAAAGGTAGACATGAATCTGAGTCTAACTCAGTCCCCTCTCTAAATTTTGGGAGCCACTGTCGAAAGTAAATGCCAAACATTTTTGAAAAGAGTTGAGTCCCAGCATTTTGTCACTATTTTAACATACGTCTTTATCTTAAGCTCTCAAAATTGAAAATCAGCATCTTTTCTTGAAATCAACCTTGGAACCCGTGCGCAGACTTGCTGTCAACCATTGTGGAATGTAATTTATAGTAAAAACTAAATACCTGTAAAAATGGACTCATTCAATTCTGAAATTTTTCAATTTTTGAAGAGTTTTGGGAGGAGTAGATTATGACATAGAATGCAACTCTTTGAAAGACTAATCAAGATTCAAATCAAATGATGAGAGTTCCAGCTTATATTAGAGAGAAAAAATTTATAAGTAAAGGTAAAACTAATAAAATTGTAAGATGAAAATATTTCGTGAGGCACCATCATTAAACAGTTTTCAGTTCGTTGAGATTCAGTTAAAATATTGACACTTGATGGGATATTTGAGGTGTTGTCAGCTAATCTGGCCGTTGTTTACTTCTAATTGCCACGCACAGTAGACTGATTTATGTCTCTGCAAACGGTGGCAGCGTTGCTCGCATTCAGGCGGCAGTCAATCTAGCTGACAAAAGCATTGCCATTGTTTGTAAACAGAAAGTGAACAACTGCCAACCTAGCTACCGACACCTCTACAAAGATAATTGAAGCGCTGGGCTCAGAAAGGGCATTTCTTGGTTGCGGTGTCTCAAAATCTCTGCTAGCGTTTCATCCGGTATGGTTGGAGCAGATATATGTAATTCGTTGTGACTTTTACTGAATATTCTTTACAATTTTACAATGCTGAGAACGTGATATTTTAGAAAATTCACCCGATAGTTTCCTTTCAAAAGGATAAATTAGCACTGGAGATTCTGAAACACTGCAACTGAGAAATGCTTGTTCTGCACCTAACGCCTTAATTCAGCTTAATCTAGTTGAAACAGACTTGTTTCTTTAATGCGAAATGAATACCCGCAGACAAGACGAAATAAGCCCTCATTATCAATTTTTTTTACAGCAATTACATTATCATAAAGGGATTTGACAGGATTTTATGTCAAAAGTTAAGAAAAGCACAAAATAATGCCCTCAGAAAAATCAGACATCAGTTAGATGAGGAGTTTAAGACAGGGACAGGTTAAAAAAGTCAGTCAATGAGTGGAGACTGCAGATGGAAAATCTATGTGAGGAACTAAACAAAGAGTTTAAAGACGAGGTTCAAGTGTAAAATTTCTTTTGTTGATGACCAATTGGTTCAAATGAAAGAAATTAAAGGTTATTATAAATGCAATGTGATCTCTTTTTTAAGCAGATGATTTTTTAATGCGTCTAGTTTCACAGAATGACTAAAAAAATGGTAAAACTTTTTTCTTTACCATCTCTATATTAAATGCAATGATACATCAGGCTGATTGTCTGAGTGAGTTGAGATTTCCACTGAGAGTGCTGCGTACAACCCCTTTAACTGATTTGGTTATGGTATATAGTGTAATCCAAAAGTCCAGCACAACCAGCACCAGGCACAGCCGAAGTAATTTTTCAACAAATCAAGATAGAAACTTGAAATATTGTGAGTGCTCCAAGGTCAAAGAAAACTACGTATGGAAATCCCCTAACTTTAAAAGGGGCCGCTCAGAAAAGGGGCTAGACCCCTAGGGGCTGTAGAGACGGTGCAGGACTTTTGAATCACCCTGTATATTAGGAGCTTGACATGGAGGATGCAGATAAGAACTGGCTGAAAATGAGCTAAATGAGCACAAAAAACTATACAGATTTCACCCTATTCAAAACACACTTTAGAACAGATAAGGAGCCATTCGAGTGTTTGATAACTCGTTTTTTCTGTTTCAAAAATCCTTACATCATTCCTTTTTCTCATTTAGTGTTGGACTATTATTCTATTCGTTAATACGGAGAGATGAAATTTTAATCTCACCAAGTATCTTCGTAATACTGATCGATCACTTGCTTGGCTATTTAAACCATTGAACCGTCTAGTAAAAGTTTTGAGTATAACAGGCTTCAGAAAATTAGACGTAAAAATGCTACAATTCTGAGCTTAAAAATTACCAATTGAGCTGAGGTCAAGAGCAAGGGAGTACTAACTACTGAGGGGAGAAAATCCACTGCAGTCACAAGTGGTCAATAACCTGAGGAAGATAGAATCTATATAAAAATTCAAACTACTGGAATAAGCGTACGAGTAAAAAATTAGCTCCTAGACGATTGTGAAAAAAAGCTATAAAAGTCTTAATAGTAGAAAAACTGTGAGAAGGTGCTTCCAACACCATTAAAACTTGACACAAAAAATGAAACTCATGAAATGAGAATAAATGGATCTGTTGCATTTAAGGGATACAGCTAGTGTCTTCCTGTTGGTGAAATCAAAAGAGAATTTGCCCAGAGAGAAACACTTGAATACTGAACCAAAATGAACGAGCAATCTTACTAATGTTACCAACTTTCGTCTTGTACTGTTTCAGTTGATTTAAAGCTTTTGTTTCTGCAAAATATGTATGAGAATTAAAAGAAAACAAATGCCTAAGAAAACAACTGAAATTATATGCAAAAAAAAATTGCAAGACTGTTTATTTAGGTTAGGCTTCTTTTTGTCTTTTTCTGGGCAAATGTGGTCCATAGCAACCAAAAGAAACTAACTGCAAACGCAGGAAATTCGAAAAAGCGTGTTATAACCCGAGCAAGTTACTAGCTAAAGGTGGATATCAGACTTATTTTATGTGCCCATGGTGATTTTTGTGTGGTTCTACACAGAAAAAAGCTTTTCACTAGGCTGTATCTCTTCCATGCAACAGAATCATAGAGGGCTCTAGAAGCTTCGAAAAAAATTTGTGTTTGTGGAAGGAACATAGTGAGCGATTTACAACTGAGCAATCGGGTGAAACCTGATTCTTTATGAGAGTGAAAGGAATGGAACTGAAATCATTAGGTTGCATTTTACTGTTCCTTAGACACAACTATGATAGTAGTGGAGCTAAAAAATCCAAATCTCAATCAGAAATAATACTAACATCCTGGCGTATTTCACTTTCATGGAGGGGAAAAGTCAATTGTTATGATTTTCTGCAATACTGAAAGATTCCTCTGCCCTGACTTGCATTTCTTAAAAATTAAATGCAAAGAGGTCAGATAGTTTTCTTATGAGAGAGTAAAAGAAAGAGAACTTCCTCGAAAAATCCATGATAAGTTTTTTAGTTTTACATGTATGGCAAACCTTGACGCAGTGAAAAGTCTTTGGTTGATCGCAATGCAAGGGACGAGGCAAAGCTTTACTTGGAGGGGAAAGTGCTGTCATTTTACACCCATGAGTCACCTCCGCTCGGAGTTACAGCGTCTTTGACTTGGTTCTCTTCGTAAGCCCAAACTTCTCCACTTCCTTGCACTAAGTTCCCATCAAACTGCCGGTTCTTTTTCTTTTCTCTGTTCACCTGTGCATACAAAGGCTCTCCTGGTTTCACCTGAAATAAGGAGAAAGAGCAAGTGAAATACAAACTGTAAAACAGCTAGCACATGCTTGAAACATTGGCTGTTTGCCAAAAGAGGCCTTGTTTCATTGCTTAAAATATAACATTGTGTTATTACAGGACCTTTTTAAAATGTGGTGGGGTCAAATAAGGGGTGTTAAAGTATAATTGTATCAGCTGATATCTGCTAACCTATTTTTCAGTGCGAGATAGTTATTTTAATTTTCAGCAAGTCCTTTCTATTGTATTTAAATTTCTCAATAAAATATTCATAATTTTCGTTGGTAATACCCTAATAACGCTTTATAATTTAACAAGGGGGATTTATGGTGAAAAATAGGAACAGAGAAAGAAATAGAGGGACTAATTGCAGGACCAGCTAGCAATAGGTCATTATGCTTGTGTTTCAGAACCAAATATTGGTCTTGTTTAAATGCACAAGGGACGCATATGGTATGATAATTTAGGAGGGTAACAGAAGCTGAAGGAGGATTCTGAGTTCCTTGAGCGCAAGAAAATGGTATGGACTGATTTGGAAATGACATTGACAAAGCAAGAATTTCTGCCTGATGGCCCAGACATAGACAAGGACACCAATTCACTATCGCTATCAAATCCGTTTGATGGGGCTCCTAGTATCTTAACACTATAACTCCACATCACATAATCCTAAGGTGGAACCATGCTCCAGTCAACTTCCAGACCATCGAACAAAGACACCCCAAATGCAAACTCAAGACTACCAGAACCCTTTTTTCTGACTAGATCAAGGCTGTAGAAAGATTCAATAGGTCTGTTGTACGCAAGAGATACAGCCGACTGGGTACATTTTTTAAGGGTAAATTCGCTTGAAAATCGCGTCGGGCACATAAGAAAATACTGAAATTCACTTAAATTTACTGCGTTAGCGAGCAGTTTTTCTTGATGACCGGCAGTCAGGTTTGCTCGGAGAGAGACCTTACTCCAAATAAACAAACAATCTTGCGAACTGTTATAAACTCTCTTTGCGTAAGATTTCAATTGATTCAAAGCTTTTGTTTTTGCAAAATGAAGAAAGAAAAAAAAGGAAACAAACGCTTGGAAACAATGGAGATTATACAATAGGAAAAGTAAGTGAAATCATTTGTTTACTCAGGTTAGTTTAGTTTCTCTTACTGCAAACCTGGTCGGCGGTGACAATGAAAAACTGTCCGCAGACAAGGAAAACTTGAAAAAGCGTGTATTATAAACTGCGCAGATTGCACGCTAAGGAGAGAATTTGAGACTATTTTATGTGCCCGAAGTGATTTCTGTGCCATTTAACTCGAAGATGGTACATTTATTTGGCTACATCTCTTGGGTGCAACAGACCCATTGTCTGTAGCCTGCTTAATTATTTCACTACATATGAGTGATGGATACAGTGTACCATCTGTAGATGATTTGTTGCTTGAAAAGTTATCAACCATTTATCTAAAATCTACTGCACTAGGTCGGCTCTAAATTTGCCAAGCGATAGATAAGGATTGTAATGTTTTCTCATTAACAGAAAAGCTACCTTTTGCTTGAATCAATCACAGAAGAGGCGGAAGTGAGTTGCAGCACAAAAACGTAACAAGAAACAGAACTTCAATTCTTCGATTATAGGACCACTCACTATTATATTTTGCTTCAGTTTACATATTTCATTTCTTTGATGTTAATCCATTGAATTTTTAATTAGATTATTTATATTTTTTTACAATTCAAAGTTTTGGCTAACTCCTAGAAGTCTAGAATAATTAAATCATTTATCACAGAACAATAATTTATATATATTTAAAAAAAAAAAAAAAAAAAAAAAAAAAAAAAAAAAAAGAATGAAAGAATAAAAAGGTATGTAGTGTAAAAATTATTAAATACTAGTTGGATTGCTTTTTGTAAAAAGGAACCACTAGCATTGCTATGTTGCTAAGATTGTGCAACTTCTCTTGTCTTGGAGGAAAACCCGATTATCCATTAATAGATTCTATTTTACTTGCTAAAAACTGTAAATTTAAGACAAAAATCACATCTAAATTTCATAGTTATTCACAATTTCCGCAATTTTATTGCAAAAGATGAAGTTGCACAATCTTAGCATCATTGCAATGCTAGTGGTTCCTTTTTGCAAAATGCAATCCAGTTCATTGTGAGTGATCTACTGATCAGGCTCCTTGGAGATAATTTTTTCCTTTAAAAAGTTGGAATGCTGAAACCTAGGATGAGATGAAGCAGACTGAGGTACTTACCACGGCTGGGTTTGATGGACCTGCGATATTATTTCCCATGCTATGATCAGAATTTTGAGCTGTCGTTGGTCTTTGAATAGTCCTGTCCTCATAGCGGGTGCCACCTTGGCTAGCCATTGGCCTGTTCAATGTACTGCTGGCATTGCTAGGGGAGTTCGGACCAGCGTTTCTAGCAGCAATGGTTTTTGTCACGAAGTCTTGTTCTTTCCAGTTATGTTTCTTATAGACCTCTCGAAGTTCCTGGTGTTGCCACATAGTGAAAAGGACTTGTCCAGCAAACTTCAGAACTCTTGGCGTATACTTTTGCCGCTGTCTTGTTATGTTCATTAAGCGCTCTACACCTCCCGCTTCCAGTAGAGACCTGTAAACAAAGCGATACAAATGAAGAAACACTCTAAGACAAGAAGGTAGCTAAACCAATCAGTAGGGATGCATTTGAGGCTATCTCTGACTGACATGTTTTAGAAAAGGTTAAGTAATCATCCTTATTTATAGAAAATTTAAGATAAAATGCAAGTTTCCTGCCAGACCAAAAACTAGAAAAAGATCTTCATTAGTGACTGTTCACAAGGAATGAAGAGAACAGAATTTTTTCAGACTAGAAATTTTAGTTGTATCAAGTAAAAAATCAGAAAATGAGTTTTTGAAGGAGAATCTCTCTCTAGTATGAATGGTAATCTCTAAAATCGTCCATTCCAATGGTTTGGGGAACCAGAACCAATATCATATTCCTAAGTTCTTCAGCACTGGGGCATTTTTTTTTAAGACAAGTCAGCTTGTGATTAGATGGGTAGAAAATTAGATCATTGTAGAAGAGTTACGGTCAAGCAGTTACCTTGAAAATTCAGCATTTTTCTTAATCACTTCATTGAGAGTGGCTAGAACGGCGGCTATGGTGTCATCTGATGTCCCATGATCATGTTGTGGATTGCCTGACGGTAATTTTTGGACTAAATCTCTCATGGCATATTTTCCTGTAGGGCAATGAAAAAGGTACTGTTATACAAGCTTGAGATAAACCTTATGTAATTTAAATACAGGAAAAAAAAACATTAAGAAATTGCCCAAACTGTATGTAACAAAGTGGTAAAATGGTGCTGCGTCCGCACTCTATTTATAATTTGTGGAACTTCTTGGCTTTGTTTTCCCCGCAAAATGGTAAGAATCCAGCACCATTTCATAACCATGTAATAATATACATATAATTGCATAATATAATGTCTCAGTGAGCTTTTAATATAGAGGTTATACGAGAGTTCACAGGAGATCAAAATTACTTCGTAATAACCGATATTTTGTTACAAGCATATACGATATAACTAGGCTCAACCCTACTAAGAATTCTAATCATTTTTTCTGATCTGATTTCATCTAAATAATTCCTCTTAAAATGAAAAGAAAATAATTTATTGAGACTAGCTCAAAATTATTTTACCAAAAACTAGATCAACTTCATCAAGACAAATCAAGGGTGGATGCTTTGAGATAATCTAGTTTCATCAGCAAGTACATGACTTGTTTTTAATTTTATGGTAACTTGTGAAAATTCTTTCTTGAAGAAAATAGTACTCGTGTTTAAAGTAGAGTGAAAATCACAAGAGAGCAAAGCGTTAAGGCTTGCCCCCACTAGAATATAAAATTTTAAAATTGGAGGGGGGGGAACTCATTTCACCTAGTTACGCAAATAGATTGTATAAATAGAAAAATACAGAATAGATTTGCTAAAACCTAACGGCAAAAGTTAGAAATCAGCTCTTGTAGTACTCAAAATTTTGAAAGTTAAGTAAATGGTAGCAATATTAGATTTGAATTCGAATGCTACGAGACGCACAATGCATGATTTGTGAAATCAAAAGAGCAGATTCCACATTCAAAACAGCACGAATATTAGATCATTTTGTTCATTTGCACTACAACTTCAAGTTCCATTTTGGTTCATCTACACAGCCTTAATTCATCGCAGGATCCTCGGTTTGTAAAAACTTGGGTCATTGGCACTACAATTCAGAATTAAGCACCTGATTGAGCCTCAACCTACCTTACAGTCTAGTCGATTTCTGAACTCAACTCGGCTCAACTCCACTTGAAATTCAGTATTTTGGAGCAATGCTAGAGGGAGCAATACCAAAGAGAACAATAATCAAGATAAGGAATAAAAAACTCACCAATCAATTCTTTGTTCCTTTGATCTATGGCTAAGTTTCTTAGGGCAGTAGCTATAGCACACACAAATCGATCAACTTCCATTCGGAGGAGTTCCACTAGAATTGGGAGACCTTTTTCTTTTCGTACAGCAGCTCTAATTTCTATACTAGGCTGCCAGTAGCAGGCGGCTAGATTCTGGAGTGCCCCCGCAGCTGCTTCTAAGGTTTCTGGATTCGAACAGCTTTGAAGTAGGGCTAGATACAGCGGAACGACCTGTTCAACATAAAGTGAATCAGTGAGATGGTGTCTAGAAATTTCTCGTTGTCCGATTTTGAGGGGCAGATTCCCTGATACATAGGTGCAATTATCTTCTATTTATACATGATCCTCATAATAAAGGTCAGTTAGTTAACAGCACTCATGATGAGGATAGAACCTCTAAAACCTATTCTTATCATTGAGTTTCTTCAAAAAGGAGTCTGAGTTATTTTGAATATTCTCAAGGTGCTTGTTAATTGCCTTTATCTCTTGAGGGAAACTTGATTTTTCCCATTGTTCAGAGCAAAACTTATCTTATGCCGTTTAAAAGCAGACCTCCAGTTTAAAAAAAAAAATGACCTCGATGGAAACGGAACAAAATCCTGCCAATTGAACCGATTAAACTTCCAGCTTATCCTCAAGATATTCTATTTCATGATGATTCCCAATATTTATCCAGTTTTCCAGGTTCTCACAATCATGATCTAAAATGTAAAGGAATATTTTTTCAGGGGTGCAGGATGTTCTCGATTCGCGTGGCCGCTTGTGTGAGAATTGGGGGAGGCTGTAAAAATTAGGGAAGCATTTTTTTTTTTTTTTTTTCACTCATCTCGATCGATTTTAGGAAGAAAACTATGAGCACGTTGTTTTTTGTGCCAGAGGGCTTTCAAGCGCTGCTTTTGGGGAAAGATACTATAAAAAATGTTGTTTTATGTAGAGGCGTAAAATAGCAAAACATCAAATTTTGAGGCAGGCATATTACAAATTGGGGAAGGTTAAGAACTTCCTGCACCCCTGCATTTTTTGACATTGGTATTATTATTCTTTTCATGAAACTCCTGTGGACACAAAGTTACATTTCCTTAAAAATCTAAACCCCAGTTCACACTCTTCAATTTTTCATCAAACAAAAACCGACAAAAAGTTGAAGGCTACAAAATTTTGTGGAACTACCGTGTCTATGTGATATCGCTTTAGGGCAATCAAATATCTTTTCAGCTTCTGGTTCGAGAAGATATAGCTTCGGCTGATGTCAATCAGAAGATTTCATTTCAACTTGCTGTTCATTGTTCAACTTTCGATCAACTTGTTGAAAGTTGAACGGAAAGTGGAAAGTAATGTCACATTCAAGTTTCCGTTAAACTATTTATTCAATTGTTTCAGTCCCTTGACAGTGTAATACAATCCAACTTTTCATTCAGCAAAAGTAGAGGAAAATTAGACGAAAAGTTGAACCACGTGAATTGAGCGCAGGAGGTATATTGTATTCTTTTAGTGACTTTGAAAAATGAAATGAGAAGGTCTGTTGGTACCTCTGGTTGCCATAGTAGGGCTAAACCTTTCACTGGACCAGATTTGGGCAACAAATTAGGATTAGTAACACTCGTTTCTCTTTGATCGTTTGCCTCAGCTTCTTTCTTCTTCTTGCTCCCACCAAAACATCCTAAATTGTCACCAGATATCAGTTTGCCTGAGAAAAAGAGACAAATTCATTAGAGCATTTCACTTTCAGCAATGGCTTTTCTCCTCCTTCAAGAAGGGTATTGAAATTAATGATCAGGATTGCCTATATTTAAAAATAATACTTCCATTTCCCTTATTTCATGAACAAGTTGACCACCTTTCGAGAAACACATTAGGCTATGACTCCTCAGACTGGTTAAGACAGGTGGCCTGTTAGAATTCCATCCAACATGTAGACATATCTATGGGTTTCAGTTACAACAGTTGCCTGCAAAATGTAGTTTCATTTTTGTCAAGGTGGTGCTCGGCAAAGCCTAGTTTATTTCCTCTACTAAGGATATTCATTCACTCTTTCTTGTTCCTCAAAATAGAAAACTAATCATTTTCAGAATAAAATAATGCGGCGGAGATCCTAGATTAACACAATGTGACTGCATCTTAATTTTCACCAACTTCACATGGTGCGGGAATTGTGAGTGATCATGTGCAATTTTTTGGATCTTATCAAGGCCTAGAAGAGCAGAGAAACATATTTGATCAACGCCCACTCTGAGCTCCTTGTCAGTCTATATGGAGTAGCATTGAATTTTCCTGTGATGTTTTAAGGTCAAGTTTAGGCATTCTGATGCATTTTGACCAAAACTAATTTCAGTTCGGGAGCCAAAAATCAAAAAGAATGATTTTGGCTCAGACAATTGTGCTTCCTACCTCTTACAGAATCAACTGCGGATAAGGAAATTCTGAGTGCTTATTGCCTAACAATTGTCAAATCTGCATAAGTCTGAGTTTTTCGGTCGTACACAAAAAGGCTAGTGGATAGCCACTATTTTCTCTTCTAAGATTGTGCACGTTGTTTTTCTGCGCAAAGTTCTGTTAGGCAAGAAGCATAAAACTCATCCATTCACATCATTCATGCACTAATCATGGAAGTAATTTCAAACCATTGTGTTTTGCACACATGAGGCTCATTTACACTTTCTTTCTCACCCAACATGTCCAGTTTAGCTTCGCGCTCCATGCCTAACAGAACTTTGCCCACAAAAGCAACCATACGCAATCTAACAGGAGCCAACTATAGTTGCCCATCTGATGGCTCTTTTTAGGTGCACCCCAAAAACCCAAATAGTCATGCTTATTCAACGATTACGAGACATTAAGCATCCAGAATTTTCTTAGCCTAGATGATTCAGTCAGAAATAAACATGATTGTTCGAGCCGGAATCATTATGTCAATTTTTGGCTTCCAAACTGAAATCAGCAATAATCAAAATGTGGCAGAATGCTTATACTTAACCTTTCTATGTGACAAAAAACTTCAATGCTACCTCATATGGATTGAAAGGAAACACAAAGCAGAAGCTAATAAAATGGTTCTTTTTGACCTTTGTAGATGTTTTCTCAGGACACTGAGGGATGATGTTTCTTGCTGCATAAAATATAATATACTGAGACTTATACATATGAGCATTATGTACTTAACAAAACTAGTGGAACTATAAAGTTAGTAGGATTAAAGAACGATTCTTACTGTTGGCCTCTGAAGAAGAAAGCAAGCAGAAATTGAAAAACAAAGGTTTAAATGATTAAAACATGGAAATAAAATGTATGATGTAAAATATACCAATAATAAGGGTAATGATGTGTGATAAGAAATTGTGATGTGATTGTGTGTGTGACGCCTGAGATGTGAATCAAGAGTGAAACAAGTTAGTTAATTTTGAAAATAATGTGTTCACACAGATCGAGTGCACTCCAGCTGTTGAACTGTGGTACTTCGTAATCTTAACAGACAGAGACATAGTGGGGAAATTGAAAAAAGCCCTACCGCTTTTAACAAGTATAGGAAACGGTTTTTTGTAGGAAAAAAATTGCTGACCTTGAGTGGATTCCACACATATTTATGTAAATTGAGTTAGTTGCAAATACGACAATTTCATGGCTGTTTTATGAATGTACCATTAGAACAATTGAATATGCTTGCAAAAAATTTCTAAAGTAATGCAGCCATTTTACAGGCATTACTGATGTTAAAACAAAAGTGTTTCCAAGGATATGATTTATGATTTGCCCTTAGCCATCTAGAAAGCCTGAAAAACGTCCAAAAAAATGTCCATTCTTACGGAAGGGATGTTAATCATGAGCCTTACCTTTGGATTGTGGACTGACTTTGTTCTGTGGCACAAGAGGATGCTTGTCATAGTTGGGATCTTCTACTTCTTGGCAACGATATGATAGATTACGCAGAATACAGACACAATTCTCTACACTTTTGTTGCCGATATTTGACTTTTCTACAGCTGATTTGACGACATACAGTAATGCATCGACCAACCCTTCACATTCACGGAGTTTCTTCCGGGCATATTCTCCAGCTGAACTCACATTTCTAGAGGAGAAAAAAACAAATCAGGAATCAGTGACGCTCTTGCTAAATTATGTTGAACAAATTAAAATTCTTAGAAAGAGTACTGAAGTCTTTCAATGATAAAAAAGATGATTATTTCAAGACAAACTTAGATGCATGAAAAATAAAGGGGAAAAGAAGCAGAATGTTGCCCAATTATTAGTGCGAAAGGTGGGGAGAAATACGAATAGGACAAAAATAAAACTGAGTAAATCAAAGCGACTGCTGTATACTGCACTAAATACCCCTCTCCCAGTTTTCCTTAGAATCCGCAAAAAGCATTAAGATTTTTCAGTCAGAGATTCAAAAAATGGCAAAAGCTGATTTTCATGAGGGGCTTGATTTTGGAAAAAAAAATTAGATCTCTCATAGGCTAAGATTCAACTCCTAAGTATGTTTGGGAGGCTGACTCTTATAGCAAAATGGTAAAAGTATCATTTTCTTTGGTTAAGACTCTTCAACAAAATCAGCAAAAAACTAATGTAGAACAAAAAGTTTGTATTTTTCACTCTCTAGGGTACTCTCTCAAAGGAGGTGGTAGGTGTCAAAAACCTGAAAATTTAGTGTCAATTAGTTACTGGTTAGCCTCTGAGAACTATAATAATGGTTGAAGTACAGCATAAAGAATTGGTATTGCTTACCTTAAAACTCCTGTTGTGTTCCTAAAAACTGTCGACCAAAGTGTCTCTCCTGGATTGACAGGGTCCCATCCAGAGTGTGGTATAATTACATGATTTACTATTACACCTAATCCATCATCTATAATACACCTTTTTAAATCCTAAATTATAAAAGAAAAAAGTATACATTCAGAAATAGCATGAAAGAGAAGTTAGAGCAAAGTAAATACATTGACCAAGGTTACAAAACAAACTTAATTAAATATGAAGCCCAATGAAAATGAAAAATATATGAAGTTACACGTAGAATTTCTATAAGCAACAACAGCTCAAATTTAATATTTCTTATTATGGGTTAATTTGGGGGAGAATGCCTTGTTAGTTGAAGATTTTGACAGGATTGACGGCAATCATAGTTATACTTAAAAAGTCCTAGTATCAAAAATTTTGTGAAATCAAAGAGGATTATATCCAGATTTTCCAGTATGAGCATATTCATAAATGGAGGCACACATATCATTTTTGCTTGAGGAACTTTCAACTAAGACAAAGGAAGATATTCCTTTTTTAATGCTCTATCTCAGACTTTCAGTCATTTTGCAATTGAGTCAAGCTTCCTACTAGTGCATGAAACTCCATCCGTGAGATAATATAAAATCCAGTGATAACACTAATGCTAATGATAATGAAATACAACTGATACTACAGTCCTTACCTCACACGATGAGAGATTCCATAGAACTCCAGTTACTAATTCTTTAACTTCTGCATCTATAGATTTTCTTAGTAAATTAATTAAAAGAGGGATTCCGCCAGCTGTTTTAATTGCTCGCTTATTTTCATCATTCTGCCTACCATACGACAAATTCCTGAGAAAAAATTCACCACAAACTTTGTAACACTTATTCAGAAAAATACACATTAACACAAATACACACACTTGTTGGTAAAACGCATGGCCCCCAGATCTTAAAGATGCAGTGAGACATGGAAATATTTCAGATTTTTCCATTTCCCCAGAAAACAGATAGCTGAGAAAAATAATGCCATTTTTGGCTTCAACAGCAAAAAATGGACAGGAATAGCTCTATTACCTTAATGGTGAATAGATTTTACCATTCTCTTAAAAGCAAAACAATCAGCTAAGTTTTACATAATACTATATGTCAGAATACGCCATTGGACTGAAAAAACTTTGATATCAGAGACAAGGGGGCATGCTGAAGATGCAATCTTGCATATTTTTGACAGATAAGCGACAATAACCTTGGGTGTTAAACCTCTATCATACACCTCTATCATTCCAGGGTATTCAATTTTCAAAGGAAAAACCGAAACATTCTAATTCTTTTAGCAAATGCACTGATCTGAAATCGGAGGTTAATTTTGGAATTGGTACTAAAAATTAACCCAGAATCTCTTTAAACTTTTGGAGAAACCTACTTGTGCTGATGTGTGTTACTAAATCATAAATCACACTAAAAGAATTTAAGGTCAAATTTTAATCCTATAGTTTTAGGTATTTTGGAGAGCAGGAAGTTGGAATTGACAGAAATAGAAAGCGCTGGTCTCTCCAAGAAAATTGAATTTTGTAATATTCAGTAAATTTGTCCAACATGTTCTACATGAAAGGACTACCTACGCACAGAACACTACGAAATTTTGCATTGGCCAGGTTTCAAGATTTTTTGACGTTGTGCTTCTTATGATCTCCTCATTGAGATTAGCTTTTATAATCGAAGTTTCTATGTGCCAATCTCACGAAAATCAGATTTGAAAATTGCATTTTTTAGCAGTTTTATAAGCATTATCAACTGAAAAAATGTAGGTAATTAAGGAACAAGCTTCTCTTTCTTCATCTTGCGCTGGCTGGGAGATGAGATAGCGCGTCAACTCAGATCAAAGCGAAAAGATCCGCATCTTCTATTCAGCAATAATGTCACGTCTTCCTATTATATTAAGTGGGAAATTGCCGAAAAATCCACTTTCAAATCCAACTTTCTTGATATTCCAGCATAGAAAGTTTGATTTTAAAAGCTCATATTACTTAGGAGATAGTGAAGAACATCATATAAAAAAATCTTAAAATTCAGCTGGCGCCAAATTTCTTGGTATTGCATTAGTAGTCCTTTTCAGGTGCTAGTAAATCCATTAGCCAGCACCAACAAAATCAAGACATTTCTTTCATGCAGATTTGTTTACATTGGTCTTTGGACCCTTAATGAAAGGCTGGAAGTGTAAGCTCGATCAGACGGTAGCACTGATATGGTAATACTGTAAGAGGATACCCCCAGGTTTTTAAAGGAAAAAATAAAATTCAGAAATTACAAACCTTAGAGCACCACAAGCATTTCGATACACATCTGGATTTTCATTGTTTAAAAGCTTAACTAAAGGTGGAATACCACCTAATGATCTTGTTTTCTGCTTGTTTGGATCATCCATGTAGCATAAGTGTTGAAGATATGCGGCTGCATTTGCCTTGATTAAGTTATTGGGATTACTTAAAAAGCTAATGACTTCAGTTAAATTTGGATCACGCCATCTCATTCCTGTAAAAAAAAAAAAATTTTCGATTATCATAAGGGCAAAACCAGATTATTTGGAAATTATAAATCATTGTAAATAAAAAGCAAGAAAGAGAGCATAAGAAAGGGTTCTAGACACTGAAAATGAACTTTGGGAACTAACATTTATCGTCAAGTGAACACTTCCGTTTTCTCATCCTGTCTATAGAGAGCTGTCATAAAAAATTAACAAAGCTCATGATAGCTTAAAAACTTCTTATATTCAACAGCTACGTTTTCTTGCCTGTAGCTTCTCTTTTTTTCGTGAAATTTAGATAATTATTTGGGAGATGCATGTGCTGTCCCAAAAATATCTAGATTGGTGCGAAGATATCAGAGTAAAAATCTTGCTTCGATTTCCAAATTTTCTGTCTTTTCATTGACTCTTGTATTATTTATTGCTTCATCTGAAAGTGCCTAAAGAGCTTATTTTGCAGTATTTTTCATAATTTTTTTCTGATAGAAGAAATAGTATAAAATAGATTTAAAAATGAAAAAGTGCACTGCTTAGCAATGTTATCTGGCAGCATTTTCCATTTAACACGTGTAGTTTATCAGATCAGGTTATTTTGTCATATCTGTTCCGATAATTTTTCAATTTATGAACCTCCAGTATCCTTGTGTTTAGTTCACTTAGTAGTTAACGTAGCAGATTTATTTTTTCTTCATTTTTAGATTGACTCACATTTTTACAAAAAATTCCTGAAACAATCTGATGAATATATTGACTTCAAAAGTGAGGAAGGAGAAACCGCGGTTGAAGCGATGGAAACAGGGGGTACTTCTCGATTGCAGTGTCTCAGAATATTTGCTAACAATATGAAAACACTATGCAAATTCTGGAAAATCCCACAAAAATCGAAGACAACACTCACCATAGCGGTCGCTTACATCTCCTGGCGACGGTGTTATTCTGAAATGCTCCGGTCGTTGTAGCATATGCGTCGCATCCAGTTCGTCGTATCCGGACGGCAAATATGGGACACCTTTGTCAAGATAAGCTAGATTAGAACAAATTGAAACAAATTACCATACATTCTACCAAGCAGAAGCAAAAATAAAATGTTAAAATTCCAACAACTGAACAACTAAGTTGCATTCAAATTATTAGAGCAGCTACTTGCGAAAAATCAATTAAAAATAAATGGAAAAATTGTGAGTAAGCTATTAGACAAAAAAGAATTAAGCGTGTTGACATGATAAATTGGCAAATACTTGATTTAAAAATTGAGGGAGACTGCTGTCTTTTTTGATTAATATGAGTAATTGGAATATTGGCAATTTTTGTGGCAAAAGAAATTCTCAAACTACAAACTACAAGTAAATACTTCACAGGAAGAGACAATTAAAGTGGAGATAATTTAGAGGGACGGCTGCCGTGTCGCATAAAAGACTCTTCATAAGAGACAGTAAACTATTGAATTAAAATCGTACTGATCTGGAAACTATCAATTATTTCAGATGTTTGGATAATGAGTTGTTGCCAGAGTGGGGCGCTCTTGTGGAGATTCTTGCGCTCACTTCGCTCGTCATTTTAAAAAGAGAGCCCTCAATTGGCGATTGTTGATGCATTGTGACTACAATAAGGTGCATTGAAATAATACAAAATCGCTAGCAAAAATGTTAAAGTCTTCTACAATTGTGCAAAAAAAGATGAGAAAGCACACTGTTGAAAATTGACTCATATTATTCAAGAGGAAAGAAAATTTTAAAAAAAAGGAGGGGGGGGCATAACGATGCTTAAGCAAGTTGACACGTGCATGTACAAAGGAGGGAATAAATTGGGAGCGTTTCCGTATCTGCCCCTTGAACCCATACGGCAGTCGACAAATTGAAAAAAAAATTATGAATTTCCTTAAAATGGCTGTTAGTCATACAAAGTATATTTTCTACGACAAATTGACGTTCTTCAATACATCTGTCTTTTCTTTCATTAAAAAAGACCAGGAACCAAGGTGCTGAATCATCTGAGTTTATGAGTGTATCAGAGAAGAAAATCTTACAGAGTCACTTTGTTTTTTGATAAATTGATTTTAACCTAATTATTCAAAAAATTTTACATCAGACGTGTCTCATCTTGAGTGCGATATTAACCCTTTGGTAGGTGTATTGCCGTATTTGAACCACAATTTTAAATTTTTGCTCCGCTTCAGTGGAAGCGCTGCAAGGTTTAGGCCAGGGTTTCAAGTATTCCTCAATGGGACTAGGAGAGACACAAATCGCACGAATTGAGACTTTTGTAATCTCTGAAGTATCAGAAGATAAGGATGGAATTTTTTTGAAGAGCCCCTTCCAAAGGATTAATATTATAGGGAGCTAACAGTACTTCTCAGCATTTTAGCAAAATCAGCCATGCTGAGCATTCAAGTTAACTGTTAAAAGCTCTTTGAATTCATCCTCATTCTTTTATGTGTTCACACATTTTTCAGAGGGATCTTACCGCCTTCTGCGTAAGTTTAAAGTATGTTAAAATGAATGACTTCGTTCATTATATTTATTTCACGTACAATATTATTTACTTATCTTCATCCCTCAGACTAGAGTATTTCTAAGTACAAAGTAAAATTGAAAAAAGAAAAATAAGAAATTTTTAAGAGCTGCATAATTTTATAATACAAACAACAGATCCTTTTTAAAACTCTAGGGCAACAAATTGAGAGAAAGGAGATAAGGGGTTAAAGATGTAATAATAACTATGCATACCATGTGCAGGTGGAGGAGATTCGCTGCGTTCGCTTGGACTCGGCGGAGTTGGAGGCTGTTCGGCATAATTTGGGGTGTTACCATATGGCTGATAACATCCTACTGAGCTGGAGTATAGGCCACTAACAGACAGATTTCCTTGAGGAGGAAAGTGATCGTAATCATGGTATGTTGGTCCATACTGTTCCCCATAATGCCGACCTGAGGGAGGATTAACAATATGATTAAGTTTAGAGACAATATTGCTTCTACTGAACCACATTAGGGGTCCTGAAGGAGAATTTTTACGATAATACATCAGCTGCAATAGTACAATTGTCCATCAGCCTTGCGATCAAGAACTATAGAATATATCAACATGCGGTTTGTGAGAGCCTCTATTTGCTTAAAATGAGAATAAGATAAGCTCATCTGGTTGAAAATCGGCGATTTTACAACATTTTATGGAGGCTTGTTGATTTTACCCTTTCAGGATTTGACAAAGATTCCTTGGTTCAAAATTGTACGCCTGAAACTTTATTTCACCTAGGTCACAGAAAATGATACAAAGTATTTACATTATTCTTCAGATAATTCTTCTCCTGAAGGATTTACTTTCCTGTCCTATTTAAAGTATCGCTCCTTATTATTTGAGCAAAACTGAAACCTCTTCCGCCATTTGATGACTAACTACTGAGCGAATGTAAAACCAATGACTTCCAACCTTCAAAAAAAGCTTTATGCCACCAATGAATGGTTAGGGAGCAAATCATGTTTTTTCCATAAGCTTCCTTCATCATTTCAGAAATTTTAGCAGCTGTCAAACCTTTACGGACACGAAGTTGAGAGGTATATCGCTGCTCTTTTCTCAATTCCACCAGGAGAGACAAGGTGCTGGTTGCGAGAAAGTTTTGTGATCGCCAATTGTCTAGACAGCACTAACCAGCCAAAGACAATTGGAAGGGAAAAGCTGTTAAAAAGTTACTTGGCTGTCATCTTAACAGATCCAAATAGTCAAAAATGTTCGGCTCTTGGATCAACAACGATGTCAAGTTTATGCAGCATTGCTGTCAAACGAGCGGTGCACTGACTTAGAGAACAGAAAATCCTGACAGAATACAATTAACAAACTTTATATTTGATTTCCACTGTATTACGTATCAATTTATGAACCTGAATCACTCTTTGATAGAGCTATTCAATGAAAAAACAATTTAAAGAGCGGGTGACAAGGCTAAAATTTCACAAATGAAACCAAAACGTTTCGGCTGAAAACTCAGGCATCCTCAGTTGGATGAATAAACAGAAAAATCCTGTCATAACAACATTCTCCCTTTGAAAGGTACAGCCAGGTACTATTTTAGATTTTTACCATTTTCCTTTTTATTTATCCAACTGAAGATGCCTGAGTTTTCAGCCGAAACATTTTGGTTATATTCGTAAAATTTTAGTCTTGTTACTCGCTTTTTAAATTGTTCTTTCATTGTTTATCTTGTCACGGGCTGCAGAGCGTCTATCATATCTCATGATGGAGCTATCTCATGCCAGAAAAATAATCTTAGCACTGCGAAAGTGATTACTTTTTTTGAAAGTTTCCAGAGAAATAAAATTGTCAATTGGAATGATATGACTTCAAAGACTTCCTGATATATTTGGGAGACTGTAAAACTTCCTTATGTTAAAGAAAAAGAATACCAACCTGAGTTCTGGGGCAACATGTGCTCTTGGGTAGAGCCTGGAGGGGCAGCAAATGCGACATAGTCAACAGGAGGTGCTTCACCATCAGGACCCATGTGATGAACTTCCCGAATGACTTTGGTTACAGTTGTTATCTGAAAGAGAAAATAGGATGCGTAAAAACAGGGTTTCCGGTCAATTGTAGAAACACATTTCTCTGACTTTTTGGGTGAAAAAATCTCACATACATCACCCTAGATTAGATGCAATTTTAATACTACTATTTATCAATTCAGGTTTATTTCATGGAGTACATAGTGTCGTAACGTAAGTGAGAGAGCTGGCGCAACTTTAAAACATTTTTCAGGTACCGAATTCCGAGACTCCTGTGTGACGCCGGGTCACTCTTTCGATACATGATCAATTGTTTTCGATACATGGGTACCCGGCCATCCGATGTAATCAAAGAAGATAGGGATTACTATGTACTCCACGCCATTTTGGATCGAACAAGTATCGAAAAAGTGACCCAAACTCGGCACACACCGGGCTCAGAATTCGTCGACCAGAACATGGCGCCAGCTCTCCCATTTACATTATGACTATGATTGTACTATATGGTTTATTTTTAAAATGAAAATAAAAATCCTTTCACACGAGCATTTTTGTATGCTTGTCCCAGGATAAATTTGTTTCATCCTGGTTTAAGAGTTATTGAATTGGTCACTAAAGTTTGCCTTTTTCTCTGATGTTTTTCTGGAACCACAAAAACACTTTAGTACCGAATAGGTTAAAAACTTTGAAGACACTCCGAATGGATGGTACATGGGGTTACCTTCAAAACTGTACACCTGTGTGCAAGAACTTAGGTAATCTTCAGAAAGCTGCGGTGTCTCTTCAGAAACTGTAAAAACCATGTATCTTGACAGTAATGTTTCAAAATTACTGCATATACTTTATTTTGTGAAAGAAAAACAAATTGGCAATGGTAACTTGAAATTTTTACAGGATGACCCGGGAATGGTACAAAAAAATTGAAGAACAGTTCTAAAACTGTAGAGCACCTGTGGAAATTTTGAGACATTACGGTTCAGATAGGGGATTTCCGGGTGGGGTAGGTAAAAGAAATGTTTCCTTTTTGGCTTTGAAATACAAATCATGTTCATTTCTTACTTGTTGAGTTGTTTGCTGTTTCTGCGTTCTTGAAACTAGTGTTGGATTTTCTTCGCTTTGCAGAGAAGAATTAGGCGAGTGACTGCCTGGATGCCCATTTGCTGGGTGATAAGAGACGTCAACTGAGTAAGAGCTAGACTGCGCTATTTCTGGGTGACCCCTGACAGAACGAAGAATCATAAAATTAAAACATTTAAAAACTTGAAATACCTTTATGAAGGAAAGAAGATTTTATCAACTATGCGATAATTACTGTTAATAAAGCTGTCACTTGACTTTTTCCATTCTTTAAAGTGGGTAATATTGAAAAATAGGTAGTTTCATAGCTTTTCTCGACTGTCAAATTTACAGTTAATCTGCTTTGAGAATTATTCTTCCTGACTGTGTACTTGCTGAGATTCTGCCATTATGTGATATATCTCCCAGCAAAATGCTTTTTAGCACTCTCTGAGCAACAAAATTTTAACACCCCACTACCAGCAATCTGGTGGTATCTTAAAAAGAGCCTGTCGAACGGTCTTGTAATGTTTATTTCCATTCTAAGGCTTCATTTTTGTTGTTGACTGACTAAATGAGTATTCTGGACGGTTAGATTTGACTGCAGTTCGGTGCAAGAGAGAAAAAGTAAAATTAGGAGGAACAAATTTCTGAAAAATGTAGTTTTTTTTTCTCCACCTCGATTTGGCAAATTTAGATTGAGCAAATAAAGTTTTCAGTTACTAAAAAAAAAGTAAAAATATATTTCTGTGTGAATCATATGCATATAATGGGAAAGTTCGAATGACAAATCTAGCTTGAGCCTGGAATGGAATCATCCAAGACATTATTCAACCAATAATGGTCTTACTTTGGACGAAAAAATCTGAAATGCCGCTGGAAAGGCGTCTTGCGTTTCCGCTCTTAGCGCCTTTCAGAATCATTGGATGATCATGAAAATATCATGTTACATCCTCTAAGATATGTGGATATTGAATTTATCATGCTCAAAAAAGGGCATACGATGCAATTCGACAACAAACACAGGCAAACTCTTCAATTTTGGATCTTTCTTTCACAACTTGCTTTTACCACACGTCATCTGCACCATTAAAGAATTGCAGTTGTAAAAAAGAGGGACAGAAACTTGAAATGAGAGTCATCTTAATACTCACATGTACTGAGGCATGTCTGGATTTTTGTCCTTTACAACTCTCCTGCACAAAAAAAGGATGACGAATTTAATTATAACATATTTTAAAGAGGAGGAAGGAGTGTAGTTGTTGGAAGCATAAGAACACATTCGAATATGAAACTGCAAAAAATAAAGAGACATCAATCTGAGGAAGTATGATTGAATTTTTTCTTGCGCTTAAATTCTGACTACTGTTCCTCTTTTTCTATTCCATGGTCGAAACCGAGTGACAAACTGTGAAGACAATATTCCAGGTGACATCAGACACTTTATGTACATCAATCTCACACGGAAAAAACGAGTTTGTGTTGGAGACACAAGACAGGAATGTCAATTGGCGCTACCTGACTTTCTTGCGTCCTGCACCTGGTGATTTGGGGCTGAGACGAAAACAAAGTATGCTGCTGCTCTAAACTGACAGGTGTGGGACACGAAAAAATTAGGTAACTATAATTGACCTAATTTTGAGTTTCACTCTAATTAAAAAATAAATTAATAGGAGTCGCTGCAGGATTGTCTCAAAGAGTATAAAATCAAATTTTGAGGTGAAAGTACTCTTCATATGGGTAGAACAATAGCACATATGACATCCACTGTCTGATAGAACGTAATAATCGGCGCATTTACTGCTGTTATATTTCAGATTTCATTGTTGATACTTGGGACTTCTTCTTGAGTGAAATAAAGGAGTTATCCTATGCTGTAACTTTGTTCATTATTAGAGGATTTTGGATATTTTTGGACAAAAAGGTAAAAAGTAAGCTACCTGACGTAGATGTACATTATCAAATGAACTTAGGCCAAGAAAGACAAAGTGTTCCTAAAGAGGATGTACCTTAACAGTGAAAACGTATCTTTACAGTGAAAATTTTTAAAAAAAAGGCTTACGTTGCACTAAAAACAACTTTCGTTAAAAAGGAACAAATCAAAAGCAAGCTTGACAACTTTCATGCCAAAACTCAAACTAGGACCTGAATGGAGAAATGGATTTAGTAATAGATTAAGGGGAAAAAATTCAAATTCTAGGGATAGATAGGCGCACTACTAATAGAAAGCAGTACCTAATCAATCATACATTGTTGAAGACACAGTCCATATGAGCCCTCAGATGTTGCTAAATTTCCTTTAATAAAACATGAATTTTCAGTGAGATCTGTGAATATTTTTCTATAACTTTTCCAAAGAATGTTTTTTGCGATGATCGGATCTAAATTATCTGAAAATTTCAAGAGAAAATATTCATAACTCTCCTCAAAAATAAACAATTTATTGGAGGAAAATTGGTAACTCTCAAATTTTCATACAGTGTTCATCCTTAGCATGACAGCAATGGCTCGAGCTAGCTTTTTTTTCCTTAAACCAAAATATAAAATAGAAATCAGTGAAGATTTATTTATTCTGAATAATTTAATTCACATGAGTTGCTGCAGCATTTGAAAGAAAAATCCTATAAAAAGTCTTTTAGAAAACCTAGGCATATTTCAAACCATTTGGGAATTTTCGCAAGTCTGAACTAAGAAAAATAGAAAAAGTTACAGTAATTTGGCCCACTTTACGGCAGGATATGCAAATACTAGTGGACAAAAAGAGAGCATGATTGTCTTCAAACAAATTTCCTTCAAATATCCAATAAATAATTCTATCGAAATATGACCAATGAAATACATTTCAGTTCCCAAGGAGTACTGGAGACAGTAGAGAGGGTAGGCAGGGAAGATTTAACAAACTTTTTGATAGGTATTGAGAAATCTGGAAAAAGATTTGAAGAGAAAAATGAGAGTTTTTCTTCGATTCTACGAATGAATGAGTCAAAAACACAAAAAATCTAAAACGAAACCGTTGGAAATCAGTATGAAGAAAGAGGAAGAGGAAATCTCAGAAAAATCAGAGTATGTAAAGGGTTTAGCAGCATTACCTTCGACTTAAATTCAATGCGAAAGAAAACTCTATCTACTTCATGCTTCAAGAAAACCAAAAAACCAAAAGGTGATCAGACAACTTCTTAACTGATCAGTCAAGAGAACAAAACAAAATACCTTTGAGTGATTTCAGTACACGTGAAACGATGCTCTTGCATCTGTTCGACCCTCCTGTTCACCAGCCTGGTAAGATTTTGGCACAATTAAATAGATACTAAAAATAATGTAAGAGTATAATGAATTTAAAATTCTTTCCTACAAATTGGCACCAATTAGAGACATAGAAAAGAAGAAAGATATCTGGAGTGAGAACTACAGGAAAAAAGAAAAAACTAGTGAAAACCAAGTCATTGGTTGTGAGTTGAAGAACAGTTTAAATGAGGACCGAGAAAAATTGTTAAAAATTGCTGTATCTAAGAAGTTTTTTTGTAATTACTGACTTAAAAGTTTGATAAATTTGTGATTAAGCACTGTCACGAGGAGGAAAGTATTTTGCTTATTTTTAACAGAACAGTTTTTTCAACGAACTTTGCACATGCTTGGAGCCTGTTTACAGGCCATGTACAGGGCATAGGGGCATGTCAAAAAAATTTGAAATTTTAAGTAGGGTGTTAATCCTAGTACACCTCGAGCTGCTCTTCTGATTAAGCCCCCTTTGAGAGTCCAGCTCTAAATCTTTACATTAGATTCTTAAGTAATTCTATGTGTTTCAAGGGGCTTAAATTTTGCAATTTTTAAGAATAAAAAAACATAAAACATTTTTTAAAAATAAATACACGTCTCTAATTGTCAAACCCGATGATTTCAAAAATAATTTGAATGCATCATTTTTTCATAAAACAAAAATGACACCATCAGAATCTACTTTATTTAATATCACATATAATTATGTTGAAAGGCAGATACCCGTTTTTTATTCTTAATTTCTTCAAGTTTTCCATGTTTTTAATTTGTTATCTTTTTTTTTTCTTCTACCTGGTAAATCTGTTCATGGCAGAAACCTGGTGCTGACTTGAAAATTTTTACTGCCATATGGCAGTGAAAATTAAATCTCAAAGAGGATTTAATTGTGACCAGATGCCACTGTACTAAATTTTAGGGATGAACTAGTTCATTATTTGTTCATTTTTTTTAAATTGTATTTTATTCTCGTACCTATTATCATGTTATCAGATATTAATGCTTTGCGTTCACTTCCTTTCTTTCATAGGAGTCCATAAAGCAGCATTTAGTTCCCTTTCAATACGAGTAAAAACATGGACTGTTTAGAACATTAAAAAAATTGGCTCGGTCTTCTCACTTAAAGGTCGAAAGATTTCATCAGTTAAAAATTAAGTCATCTTGTTGTGATGTCATCCTCTTGATCGATGAGATTTTAGTGATTAAAGAAAACAAGGATAAAAATGAGGAAAACCTTCTTATTCCGAAGCACTTCAAGTTACAAAATCTATAATTAATATAAAGTTTCTAAGTGGTATGTAGCCTTCTACTCCAAGCAATAGCTAAACAAGAAGCAAAATCGAAAGTCAAGAATGAGGGAATTTAAGAGTGAAAAATATGGTAGAAGGAGGACAGTGAATCAAGGTGTTACGTCCACTTCGAGACTGGGGCAAGGTGGCAGAGGTGTTTGATACAGTCCTACATCAAGAAGTGTATCAGGACCTCTAACTAGTTTTTTCATTGTGATAGGAGTACGAGGCATAGATTTAAAAATTTAAGAAGATTTTAAAAAATCTACGCCTTTTTCCAGGATGAATGAAAAAAAGAGGAATGGGACGGATATAGTATACTGCTAGGGGAATAAACACGCAGAGAAGAGGCTTCCCGATACCTTATTTTTACCCTCTTGAAAAGTCGTATGAATATTGTTATGGCCTTCAGCTTTGCAAGTGAGAAAATGATTCATGCAATACACAATTGCAACCTTGCACATGATATAACACATTCCTTCAAAAAACTAAAAAATTTGAATTTTGCTTGAAGACTTAGAGCAGTAGAGAAAATTAGTCCCTTGTCATATTTCCATTTATCAAGAGATGCTTTCTGCTATGTTTTGGTAAACCATTGGACGGAGGTAATCGCGTTAAGGCAATGAATAAACTAAAAGTAAAATCTATTCCAAAAAAAAAACAAAAGAAGAGTGGGAACTTGAAAATTCAGAGTTAAAAAGAAGTATGACTTAGCGAAAACTAAAACATAAGAAGTGAAGGAAATCATAAGAGGAATAAATGAACAGACAGAATGATTCCAAGAGAACAAAGACTCCAGTAGATGTTTTGAGGGAAGAAAAAAATAAAAAGAGTAAAGGGTTAAAATTTCTATCAGCATCTTATTAAAGAAGCTTCAGTGCTTTTTCCTTTCACAACATGAACTATCTATCTGTTCGCAAATACAAAGTTGAGAATGTTGAAAATAAAGACCATTCTTCAATCTTTAATTGAAATCATCATAGGCAGGTTATCATTTTCTACTGAAGCTAGGATGTTGTTCGAAAAGTAATTTGTACCTTCTTCAAAAACTAAAATGCAAATTGATAGATGGAAAATCATAACTAATTACTGTATTTCTACGTTCTTTCTGCTGAGGTAAATAATAATGACGGCCGGAGGACTTATAGTGGCTTATACCAGAAGAAATCCTGCAAGATAAAAAAAGAAAAAAAGTAATACTGGATCCGGATGGACCAACAAGTCACTCTTAAAACCTGAGGCTCACCTCTCTTAAACGTCAAGTATGATTTGCTTTCATTCTTTTTTTCACATTTTTTGATTGAATGCATCTGGCAAGTTCACGTAGGACTTACTGGCAGACTGACTTTCGAAAAAATTGAAAGATGTGCAATGATACATCTTTAGCAAGGAATGACGTAACAGAAAACATTACTTTTCGAACGACCCCTGAGTAGCTTTAAGCTCTATTTTTCAAAGGCAGTGGTTGTGGACAGTTAACAGTTGAGTGGCAACACTTGGTGAGCTAACGAAAAATGAGCTGTTAAGAAATGAGTAATATCCACATGTAAAAAAGTGAGCGAATGTAAGGAATAGAAACAGCTATACTTACAAGCAAGCATTTGTCAGGGAATTATCAGCCATTGCAAGCTTCACAGATCCAAATAAGCACTTGTGCTACCATTACCTAAGAAATGGGAACCAACACCATGAAAGGATAAAGATTTTAGTAAGTAAAGCAGGCAAATTAAGCATTGTCATTGTAAGAAACAATTAGAGGAGTTAGCAATTGAATTTGTGTGAACTTTTATTGACTTGCAACATTATAAAATAAAATACAGAGTAAACAATGGATGCTTCAAAGTTATCTTTTGTATTCATCTTACTTGAGAGATCAGTTTATTTTCAGAGGCAACTCTAGATTATGATAATTTTGCAAAGATGATAAACAGGATTTTGGAATCAAAGAAATCAAATACAAAAGAAACTTTCAGATCAAACTGATTGAATATAACTCCTGTGAAAAATATAAACTTGGAAATGTTAATTTAAAGTACCGATCATTTTTTATTATTTAATTCATTTTTTTCACCTTTTCTTACAAATATTTCATGCTTAATTTCAGAGCCTGGGGGAAAGAAGTTAAGTAAAAATCCTCCGGTACATTGAGCTAGTAGTGCAGTTTCACTCAAAGACCTTGGAGCAAAATAGGATAGAAAAAGATGGAAGTAAATTAGAGAGTTACTCTGTAGTTATACTAACAGTTGAAAAATTACTTAAAGGTGAGTTCAAGATAGAACATGCTTTTAGTTTCCCTCAGCATTACAAACAACTGCTTAGTGGGAGCTGATTAAAAAATTCACCAAAAGCATGAGGATGACAGAATCTTGAAGTCAAAAAACATCCTTGTTTAGAGATTGAATTTTGAAACAATTATTGCAGCATAAGAGTGAGTTTTTGACTTAAGAGATGAATGTGAAGAGAGATTCTGATAATTTTTAAGTTCTATGAAAATAGGAATAGTTATACAGATATTACTGACCAGCTTTACTGATGACGTAAGGGCATGACTAAGAAGATCTATTCCGACTGCGCCAGGCATTTCTTTTCTCTCACAAAATCTGAAACAAAAAATCGACGACAAGATTTAGAAAAATTAGATAAGGTTAAGAGTTTAGTAACTCAAATTGCGATGTGGTGAGTCTCTGCTCATTTCTAATTTTAATGAGGACAATAGCTTTATTTTACAAGGAAAACTAACCAATATTTCTTATTAAAATTTTCAGAGAATTTTCATCACTCATTTTGTAAAAATCATAAGAAATTGAAGGGGAAAGTTTTGATTAGTTTTTCTATGAAAAATAAGTCTTAATTGGAGATTTATAAACGTTGCAATTGAATCGGGACGTGTGAAAACCACTAACGTCCATTTTTCCAGTCTGAAGTTTTTTTGAGTTCATAATACTTTTAAAGAGTTGAAACAAACATAAAAGTGATGAAAGGACTCGTTTTGGGATTAAGGAAACCCGAAGACAAGCTTTAATGCTACTTTCGATGTTGCAACCAACCGCGAAAAGTATTATAAACTCAAAAGAACTTAAGACTGGAAAACTGGACATTGGCGGTTTTTGCACATCCTGATTCCATTGAGAAATGCATCTTTCATGTTCAGCCATCAGCATGAATCACCAAAATTTTGCCCAACATTCAACGATTCTGGCAAAAGTCGATAGAACCGTTAGTAGTATTCAGTACTTGTATGGCAGAACTGCATGGTCTCAAGTAAGTTTATTTTCACAATGCATCTAATTATTTCTCAAATTGTTCATCATATTAAATTTCAGTTCTTGACAAAGGGTGCTTAAGCAAACCCTTGCCAGTAAACTATTGGTACAGCTAGCTCTGAAACGTCAGAAGAATATTAAAGAAGAGACAAATGTCACACTAATTTATGTGGTAACTACTTAGTGGGCCAACTGATGATTGAAGCATTCAGGTTGATATGAGATACCTATGTCTCTTCTTTCCTTTCCCCAGTTCTACCTTATAGACAATGGGGAGCTAAAATTGCGGTGACTCATTCCTCTATCTCTGCATGTAGCAATATTCATTTAACGTTATCATGCTGTAAACTGAGGTCTATAATAGATAACACGAAGGCTCTGATGGGGCGTAGTTTCCCTTGGAGATCCGCACTTTCTGGGGGTACTGAATACTCTTTTAAACTAAAGGCCTACCAATTCTGATGTCGAATTTAATTCCCTTCAGAGAAGATTTCCTGACATTTAGTAGAAAATCAATGGTTTAATAGAAAAATTAGAAAGTAGAACATTAAAAATTTGACAAGCTTCATTCAAACCCCTTATCAGGGAGAGAAACATTTTTTCCCCCAAGTTTTTCTTTACAAGCCATTGAAAGAAGTATCATGTTGAGAAAGTTTCTTTACCTATATTATAATCTAAGTAATTCTACTGGGAGAAAACTTGAGAAAAAAAGTGGCCAAATCTAGAAATTTTGGCTACAGCATTATTCAAAACATGTATTTAAGGTCACAAAACAATATTTAGCATGTATTCTTTAAAAAGAACTAGTAGGGAATCTACGCACTTTCAAAAAGATCTTCGGAAAAGTTTCCTTAACACAACCATAAACAGGTTATTGGTGAAAAACCAACACTTCTACGTTCCGAACCTGCTAAATAGGGAGCTCAATCAATCTCCTCCTTGACGCACGACATGTCATGGAGCGACCAAAAAAAAGGTCACACAGCGAAGTGGGGAAACGCACAGTTTGGAGGTTCAATTGTTTTTGGGTGCTATCTGTTGGAAGTGTAAATATGAAGGTGGATGTTTTATAAACTAGTTGTACTAATATGACATGCTTAAGGCGACGATTTGCAAAGATACGGACACTGTTAAGCCTTAGTTTAGTCATAGTTAAACACAGCAATCTTACAGGCAGCATCAGCAGTCAAAACAAAACTTTCTGATACATAACCTAGATACTTACATTAGCTGAAATAACTAAGAAGAATGAAGTAAGATATAAAGATGTACTTACTCAACATATCTTATTAATCACGGTAAGTGTTGCGATTACGCTATAACGAAAATGCATGATGTAAAAATTCAGACGGCACAAAAATAAACTAGACAGAATCTTAGATCTCGCACATAAACACACAGAAACTTCGAGGGGAGTGTCACTCAGACGGTTTCTCAAGAGTAGAGATCAGACTAAATTCAATGTAACAAAAATTCATGACGGGCGATGCGATCCGTCTACCGTTGCGAATGAGGGAAATTAAGAAATTATCAATGTTCAGATTCGAAAAAACTCGAAATAAACACTAAAAGTGCAGTGAGGAGACTTGAGTCAGTGCTAAGTAGAACGATCAGAAAGCGGTTTGATAATACTGGGGACGTCAGCAGAGAAGTCCCGTATAATGCAAGCGAACTCCGGCACGTCGCGAAACAAACGAAATAAAGAACGCACTAATTACTTGGATAAGTACAGTAAAACTTCAAAAACACTGAGAATAATTTTAAAATTTCGCCGTAGTGAGGAACGTCATCGGTGTTACAAATATTCCTAATTCTCTTCCACTCCCGATTCTCTCTTCAAGGACATAAAGTAAGTACCTCCCACCCCAGAGCGTAAGGAGAAATTTGGGCTCAGGCGGACCAATAAAAAGTACTTATATTGCAGCAATGCATTTTGGGAAAGAGAGGTCTTCATGTTGTGACGTATACACCGTACCATTCTAGGTTGACCAATCAGGTTGTAGATCAATGGAAGATTGGCTCGTGACGTACTAGAGTTACCAAGTCAAGTACCCATTCGGCTGCTTCCAATGGTTTCTCTATCTCTGGAATCTAGATCCCGTGGCTTTGCTTTTGAAGGGTCTCGCTGAAAGTCTAGGATGACCACGCCTATTTCCACCTATTTCAATTTCAATAAATTGCCGATTTTTCCAACGATAATACATTTTACGGAACATATTGAGCTTGTCCTGGCTTTTATAATCGGTCGTTAATTCAGAAGTTGTACCGCAGGCAACGGTACAACTTCTGAATTAACGACATGTTTTCCCATCAATACGACATATTATTATGTAGCGTCAAGACATAATAAAATTTTTTTAATTGAACTCATGAATGAGAGGTCAGCGTTTGATTTGCTCGTAAATTCAAACTAGCTGCTGGCAAAAAATCGAAGTCTGCTTGGATCAAATTGATCACTATGGTAATTCCACTATTCTTGACAGTAAAGTAATGTGCTCAATTTTTCTTCACAAGGTCCTGGTACCTTACTCTAGAGGAGGAACAAAATTTAATGAAACCCCACTTAAAAGTCACATGCAAAATGGAATAGGTACTTGTTCTCAATTTTCATTTAGATGAACGTTGATTTTTTGCAAAGCGAAAGTTTGTAGAGACTAAACTTACTGTGAATGATAAATACTGGTCTTTCACTGACGAGTTGAGTGTGGAGACATCAACATATTTTGCATGAATGTCAGATGAAGGTTTTATGGAGCTTTTTATTTCATCCTCTGTAGGTATAGCAATTCGTTTGAGTAAACGCCCTCTGGGCAAGATAGTGAAACAAGATCTTCTGAACAGCAAACTTTATTAAATTAGAAACAATATCTTAAAACACGTTTACACTTTTAATTTCTTTTGTCTTAAAGAAACTGGAGGAGTATATACTACAAAAAAATATCTTTAGGCATTGAAATTAGAAAAAAATAAATAAAACAGGAATGATTCAATCTATGATCATCACGGGGTATATTAAGAAAGTAACTTTTCAATAAAGAAAATCTGGACGCCTGAACATTCGAACTTTACAGGTGCAACAAAAGTTTTTACTTTGTACTTAAAAATTTCAAACAAAAAAAAATAAAGATAAAAAATTAAAAAATGAAAATAATTTACAAAAAAAACTAGATTTACAAAAGGTTAACAAAGCTCCAAGCTTGAAAACAGCACAAAGTAAAAAATAAGGTGCATTAAATATTTAAATTTTTTCAAACAAAAACTGATATGTACAATTGAAGATTTGAGTAAGAGAAGGATTTAAACTACATGAGACGTCCAAATCGGGCAAGAAAATTTGAATTAAGAGTTGAAAATGGAAGGAAAAAGCTGTGAGAAATTGTGTAAGAGAGATCGCAACAACACTTGGACCACATTTCGCAATAAGGAACCAATATTTCTGGCTCATAATTTAGAAAAGACATATGTGCCATTGGTTTTTCTATGCAGAAAAGTGCTTTTATGGAAGAAACAGAGATAGTGGTTCTTTATTGCAAAATGTAATTCACTTGGTAGAAAATTTAAGATTTGCAAAAATTTTGACAACGTCTCATGTGACTTATTATGACTTTGTATTCCTTAGTTTTAGCAGTAGAAAATTTAATAGATTCTCACAATTTCTTAAAGGCTACAAGGAACAGTCTTTAAAATCTGGTTTTCAATTAATTTAATACCTGGTTTTTTATGCAAAGCAGAATCTTGCAGCTAGATGCAAAAATCAAAAAAAGTTCAACTTTTGCATTGCATTTATTCTGCACGTCAGCAATCCTTTCTCTCATTTAAAGGGATTGCGTACAACTATTGAAATTCAATACGACTGCATCACAGCAAGCACAAAGCAAACGTCTAAAAGAAACAAGGCTCAATTCCAGTCCTTTCTGGAAGACCATTTCAAGCATGTCTCAGACCGAGTCGTAATATGCGGAAAAAAGAGGGAAAAAACCATAGGAGTGGCCTGAAGAAACACATCCTCACAAATTAGCAGCTCTTGAAGAACATGCTAAAAAATTCTTAAAAGGCATTATACCTCTAAATATATTTAAAATGTCAACACTTTAAAGAGGCATCTGACAATTGGATGAAATACACAATCCTTTACTTCCTTTGCTATGACTTAAACACAAGAAAGATATCATGGGTTGTTTGTACATTTTTTGCAGTCGTTACTCGGTTTTGTATTGCAAAATAAATTACAAATGCTGCAAAAAAAAGTCCGTTAATCAATTAAAGCTAATTCGTTTTTAAATCCATATTGTTTCTTTGCGCTAATACAAGTCATCTTAGACTGTTCAAACAAACTTAAATACTCTGAATATAAAGTTGATTTATCATATGTAAAGACTAAAAGACTTAAAATTTGAGTAGACTTAACAAAATTCAATAAATAGTTTCATCATAGCAAAAATTGCATTTGTTGAGGCACTTTTACCCTCCATGTAATACAAGTGAGAACAATATAACCTTAATGTTTAACAACTTTCAACTGAATCGAGAAAAAAAGGCACATTTTTGCACAGGCAAAACATATTAAACTTTTCACAACAAGAGGCTGCTTCTTCTTTCTTTGCTTTCAACCTATAAATGCGAGGTATTAAATTGGAAATTTGAAGTAATTGAGGCAGGGTCAAGGCTGTCAGAGGAGAACACTGAAAGTGTATGAGAAACATAATGAGGCGCCCTCTCATTAAAGGCACCCTGAGGGGGCAGAAACCCAAAACTTCTGATGGTACATGCCAGTTTTTCTAATCTATGGTTTTGTTGTACTTCCCTTCTTTTTTCTTTCTTTCTTTTTTTGGCAAAACTTCGAACTTCCTCAATTTTTTTTTTACTGACTTTTTTTTTTCTGCTGTCAATAAAGTTAAACAATATTACACAGACATATATACTGACTTTACACTTCAAATTATGACATCAGATAGCACATTTACCATCAGTCTTCTGTCAAATTCTTAAATTAAGATTGCCCCATCTGCGAACAAAGGAGTAACTTACAGAACAGTACGGTGGCATCATTTGAGTCCGTGAAATAGAATTTGTACAAAAATACAAAAACAAGAGTTGAACATGATTATTTGTCCATTTTAGAAAAATAGTGAATATAAAATAAAAAATCATATAAAGAATTATACAAGAGTTGCTGAACGAGTTTGAGGCGCACTGCTTTGGTCTTGGTACCAGGCAAGCATTTCTGTTGAAAATGCGTTTGCCAGGGATGGAGGAGACTGGATTTGGCTGGAATTAGAGAGCGCTGCTGGTGAGTCTCCATCCGAAGCCAACTTTAAGTCGCTTCCCCTGCAAATCAGAGAAAAGCAATGTAATCACACTAAACATCAAGAGAACGAGTTAAATTTGTCATTCAATCGAGTTCCGATGGTTAAAACAACCAGCACAAACGCATGCGGGATGCACAAATGAGAATTAGTAGGAGATAGAAGGGCTGGATGGGAGAGGTAGGTGTAAAATATGCTTTGTTCAACCTGAAACTTTATTTAGGAATATTTAAAGAATAACTTCAAAAGATACAACAGGGTAATAAGAGATTCTACAGTATATATTTTCAAAATAGCAGCGCTTTATCTCAATTAATTTTAGGACTTACGAGGTTTCCAGCACAAAAATTTTGGGGGGTCAGAGGAGTATATTTACCCTCCTAACCTGAAAGTTGGTGATACTTCAGTTCAAAGGCTTAACAAAAAGGGTTATTAATGGCAAGTTAATTTCGTTCAAAATGACATGGCTAATCTGATAAATTATTTCCTCTTTCTATTCTTTTCACAGCAAAAGAGAGGTTGGCATTTAATAAAAGTCGGATTGACATGAAATTTGGTCCATACGTGAAAATTGGCTTTCTGAGAGAGTATCAGATAAAAATTTAGTGATTTTGTTTCCTAAAAAAAATTTAAACCCTATTGCATCCAAAAATTTACAGGTCTTACAGAGTCTTTCTTTCAATGTGAGACTAAAAGATAATGAGAGGGAGGTTGCCACCCTTGCAAGTTAATGAATTTACCCAAATTTAGAGGAAAGGCTTCTTTGACATACTGAAACTTGCCGAATGAAAATTCGATGGGTCGATTTTGGCAGGGAACACTCTAATGTACAATATTCGAGATCTTCCACTACTCTTCCATGAAATTTAGAAAAGTGATTACAGATTAAGAGGCCACTAAATCATAATTATTTGTGAGAAAGGAATGATAGGAAAGACAAAAGGAATGAAATATGAAGAAAAAATGATGATACATAAATGCATAATTGCACTATATTGACTGCGAAACTCCAAAACTAGGTATTTCGTTTGCAGTGTCTATAAATCTCCACTCACATTTTATTTTTTTTTAAAAAAAATCAAATAAATTTAATTCTTTGAAGTTTTTTCATAATTACCTCCTGTTGAAAATAAAAATTAGGGACGTTTTTAAAAATTGACGTTGATTAGTTCTTCATTTAATAAAAATCTATACTAATAAAGCAGACTTCACGTTGATTGACTCACTCACTGACTGACTGACTCACGTATCAGCGGATCTCGTGAACGGGAGGCCGTGTGACCCTGAGATTCCGCACTGGGATCCCTCTCTACCCCGAGGCGCCGGATAAGGGAGGATTTCGCGATCCGCCCGCCGGTTCGCGGGATATCGCGGTCCGCGTGGGTCGATTTTCCCCCAAGGACAACGGGTGCGAGAGAGAGTGCGAGCGAGATGGAGTGATTTCCGCGTTTCGCGCTGAAAGACAGCTGATAAATTTTACGTGTGTTCTTCTGGTACGCGCAACGGGTGCGAGGAAGATGGAAGGGGTTAAGCGTCCAACGAGTGCAAGGAAGATGGAACGAGTTCGGCGTCGCGCTGTTGGAAACGCCGCGCCATGATTGTTGCGAGCTCCGACTCGTGCATCCGTTGCCGGGCTACTCTCTCAGGGATGTGAAAATCTGGAAAATCTGTCTATGCATCGGCATAGAATAAAGAGACTGACGTAGTCTCTTCATTCTACGGCCGCGGCATTGGTTCGCGATTGGTTCGCGCATTGGTTCGAGTTTCCTTCCGTTTTTTTTTTTGCAAGATCAGTGAAAAATGTGCTCCGCACGTTTGCTTCGTTTCGTTTTGTTTTTGTTTTTGTTTTTTTTTTTAAAAAATTTACCTGCTCAAGTTCGAAAGTAAAAAAATTGTTGTGATTTAGTCTTCACGTCGCCTGGGGTTACTTTTTGATACTTTTATCTTCTTTTGAAATGATTTAGGCAAATTCTCGGGAAATTTTGAGAGAAGCTGTTGCTTGGCTTCATTAATAAAATAAATAAATAAAAATGGAACATAAAGACGGTGTGCAACGCTTCAATCGGAGGAGAAGTGGGGGTTTCGCGCGCATTTCATCAATATTTGACTCCGATCGTGGAACCGAAACACATGAGTCTTACTTGCAAAATTTTAAATCATCGCTAATGCTCTTTTTTTTTTTTTTTTTTTTTTTTTTTTTTTTTTTTTTTTNTTTTTTTTTTTTTTTTTTTTTTTTTTTTTTTTTTTTTTTTTTAAATTTCAAAACATTAAATCTTATATAGGGAAACCGATGGTTACATCCCATAGTTCCCGTGAAATTTAGATTGGATTCTTCCAATTCGTCACTTTTAAGAAGCAGAATTGAAGCGAGCAACTATTTGAACTCCGGAGTGGGTATGTGGTATCATACAAAATTGAAGGAAAATCATACGTTTTCGCCCATCTCAAGTAACAGATGTTTATGAGTTTTATGCGCACATTTACGTAGTCTTAATTGAGTCAGAAATTCGCGTGTATGCCACGATATTGATGTGAATAACGCGCAATTGTAATGATCTTAAAAATTCACTAAGAACACGACGTATTTGGCGTGATACCGTGGTGATTATCGTGTAATTTCTAATTTGTTTCACAAAATCCCTGTAAAAATCAAGTTTTCTCCGCGATGTAGATGACAAACCCGCCATTGCTGTGAATTAAACGAAACCGCTGGCTAAATCCCGTAATTTTCGCGGCTGAAACTCACCAGCTAACTTCAATTGAACATTGAGCTGACAAAAGTAACAAATCTTCGTGAAAATAACCAACTTTTGATTGGGTATTTTTTATTATTATAATTATCATGTGAGCTTATTGCAGAACGGACCAAAATAGCAGCAGACTACTAATCTCTACTTTTTAATCAAACCAGTGCGTCTCGCCCATTTTGAAATAGTAGATAATAATTCAGAAAGACAATTAGTAACTGATCACTAATCACAGTGATTGCTGATGGTGGGGTTTTCCTGTGCGTAGCACGGGTTTCCTGCTAGTTCACTAATAAAGTATGACAGGAAGTCTGCGACCGCGCAAACCAAGATACATGGTTGCAGAGTTTCACCGTCGATATGTGGTATGCATTATCGTACATATTTAGAAGCAGAAATGGACGCAATTTGCACTACCTGGGTGAGTTGTTTATCAACAGCTGGCATGTCATGGATTTCAAGGGCTTATACACTCCTTTATGCTGAGGGCTAAGTTGCGAGCTGCTTGAATGGCTCTGAGTCTGCGCTGGCTCTGTTCCTGGAGTCGTGGAATTTGGTATGGCACTTTTGTTACGGAATTTTGTACTGTACTTGTAGAAGTCAGCCATTTCGAAAGGTTTCGTTACTTCCCTGTACGGCTGCCACTTTCCAGCTTGGACAACAGTGTGATTTTTAGGTGATTCAAACGGAACAACCTGACGAAATAACCAACATGCAATATTACACAAGAGCTCAAGAAAACAGGGACAGCAAATTGGATTAAAATCCAACACTTGCCATCTTAACATTTTGACAATAAAAATAGGATGAGAAAATAGTGACATGTAAGAACATGCTACAGACTTGGACGTAGTATTTTTCAGTTTACACTGTTTTCCATACTACATTTTTACAGATAGATCCGTTGGGGTAAATAGTTTGAGAGCGAGAATTGTATTTGGTAAAACGGATCTATCTACAGAAGAAGTAACAAGTGGGCAACTGGCAAAATATTCAAGTTTTGCATGATTTTAGCAAGCTCCTGACTTCAGCCTGTTGCTCACATGGGTGATCTTCCTCTTCCAATAGCACATGTACCTTTTAATCTATGTATTTCCCATCTCAGTTATTACAAATAAGTATTTTTTTTTAAAAAAAAAAAAAAAAAAAAAAAAAAAAAAAAAAAAAAAAAAAAACCAACACAGGTACATGGATGTAGACTTGGGCATCTAGTTGCTTTATTATCACAGGAAAACATTATTGGTGTCTGAATCTCAAGTCAATCTACTAAACTGAGTTAGGGATGCAGAGAGTGCCAAGTTTTCCCCCGAAATTGATTGCTCTTCACCCAAAAAAAATCAACCTTCCCCTATTTTTGACCCAAGTTAATGATCATTTCCTCCATATACAAGGAAAAAACTGTTGTTGAATTTTTGTGATGTGGTGGTGCATGAATTTGTAATTTTGTTGTACTGATAAATTTTCTTTTTCTTGTACTTTGGGTTTTTCCCATGGGTACTTGGGCATTGCTTAATAAATAAATAAATAAAACCCTTTGAACCCAAAAAATTGGACTTTTTTACCACTAAAACGCTGTATTTTGCACAAGGTTCCCCCAATTTATCTTATTTCAAGGAAATTCCCCTTTCCTTGTTCTCATGGGGCTCAAGCAATTCCACACAACCGGGACACGAACAGGTCAGTCATGTGATTGGGAGGTTTCTGCACCCCTAACTAATGTAATTTGAGGCCAAAGAGAAGTTTCCAAGTAAAAAATTGTACGTACCGTGTCAAAGTCTACAGGTTGTGAAGATGCTTGCTGTGTAGCATTAGTGGTTACAGGGTGGTTATGACTCAGATTCGGAGTCACCGAGCGAGGAGGAGGAGGAGGCAAAGGAGGTGGCGGTGGTGAGGAGAACTGAGGAGGCAGAGGTGGAGTTTGAGACGTCTCGGGAGCTTGCCTAGAATCAAGTGATGTTTCGTACCACTCTTTATCTCGAATTTTGCGAACTGCCACTTCTGGAAATTCAGTAGGTTCGGCATCATATTTAGTCGGATTTGACTCAGTGACAGTTTCAACAGGGACAACAGTTTCATGATGATATGAGTCGGCACACATTGCTTGAACAACCTCCGTGGTCAGCCGCTCTTCACGATCTCGATACTGAGAGGGGCGCAGCTCTGGTTTTGAGGAATATTTAGCCGGTCTCGGCGGCTCTGGAAAGCGCGGCGGGTATGGTCGTAAATCTGTCCGATGATTCGTGGGTTCGTGATGTGGAGCTGGCAACTCAGGTTTCATCGATTCAAATTTCTTGGACTCCTTTGGGTCTAATGAAAGAGAATGAATGTCAAAGTGAAGATCATGATGGGACTGTGAGTAAGAATTAAGTGCTGTTCCTTCAACAACTGTTCTGAGATCATACTTTCCATGCTCATTATGATGACCGTGACCATGATGGTGTCCCCTTGCAGGATATGAGTTGTGTTCCAACTTTAAATTCTCATGGGAACTTGCAGTCTTTGCAAACTCCGGCTCGAGAAACACTTTGCTGTGGCCTATGTTGTACAATTCATTAGGTTCTAATTTCAAAGATAAAGAGGTAGTATCACTTTGGTACTTATTCGCTTCTAAATAGTTGCGGTTATCAAAGTATAACCTCGAGTTTCGACTACTAGTATCAGGTTTAAGAGATTCAAAAGCATGTGAGGAGTGATGCGAATTTGATTTGAGAGATCGAGTGTCAGGATCACACTTAGTCAATTCTACACTACCCAGAGATTGGGTTCGCATCAAACTATTTTCAGGGTATGTCTGGTTTGGCAAAAGAACAGAGTTTAGTTGAGGCGGATTTGGTTGATACGGCTGACTTGAAGGACCCAAAGTGTTGATGACATGATTTGATTGACTGTAGTGGCTGTGTTCAAAGTTTTCGTTGTTGTCACCATGTTGATAGCCTCCTCCACTGGTACGTCTCCTATCTAGACTCCCAAATCTGTTAAAAAATAATGATAAAAAATAAAATAAAATGACTCCTACATTACTTGCTCAATAACCAGGTTGATGCTTGTACTCATTCATTCTTCAACTTTACTGGTCCATTTGACCTGCAATAGACTTTAATTTGTATGTTTGAAATAGTATGTAAATAGAAATTTTAGTCTAACTACGTTTTTAGAGCTTAAAACATTGGAAAGAAGTTAGCTTGCAGTTAATTATTAAGATTTCGTTACAAACACCCTATTTATTGACCCTTTTCCATAGGTTTAAATGACAGATCAATCGCTGTATCGTCAAACACGCCATGCCACTACTGATGACTAGATGGTGCTTCCGTTGCATTAATTTCTTGGAATAACCATCTGACAATAGATTGTGTAAGCTCCGAAACTGGGCACAGAATTTTTTTGGGAAAATCAGATTTGTTTCGGAATTTTTTCAGTTTGGGACCAAATTTTTTTTTTTTTTTACGAGCAGTTTTTCCACATACATTTCTGATATGAGAAGGAATTGTTTACATTGTTCTTCTGGGTGAAAAACCAGGACTGAAAATAACGATAAAAGCAGTTTTCTGTTTTAAACATGTGTTGTTATATTGAGGTGCTACTATGGTTATTTTGTAACTTTTACTTCAAAAGAAGTTTTATTGAGAATCACATGAATCTCAATTTGTTTTAAAAAAAAACCGTTCGATGCCTCTTTCAATCACTTGATGCTTGGATCCGCGTTTTATCATTTATCGATGATGAGAATAAGAAAAAAAACTGGCTTAACAGGATACTGAGTAATTGACCTTTGCTAGCTTATAGTTCAAAAGAGCTGTGGTAAAATATATCAGCTAGCAGGGAATTGCGATAATCTGGCAACAAAGTTAGTTTCCATCATTTTAAACTCCAGCAAAAACTATAACCATCAAGTATTAACTTATCTCTCTCACCTATTGGGATTGCAAAATGGAAGTCCCTTACAATTTCTTGAAAATGAGCATTTCATTAGATACATGCTAAGAGAGGAACAAATATGTAGTTACCTGTCTCTGAACTGATATCCTCGGTCCATCTCATTGATGTTAGAAATATTTTGCCGCATTCTTAAATAATTGTTAATGTTGTTTACTGTGTCACCTGTCCATCCTCCTATTTGAACAAGATAAGATTGAAATGAAAATAAGCCACACCATGTGCCATCAAAGTGCTAATAGCAAGAAAATCTCAAGGAAAATATAATGAATTTGGGTACTGAAACTGTATCATAGCGCCTATTGTTTTTGAACATGCACAAGCCACATATATGGCACTGAAAACTCTTAAGATTTTACTGGATTAGCACAAGATTACCAAAAATAATGGCCCATGCCTATACTGCGTACAGATGGAACTACAGTCCAATCTTCAGGGTATTCAAATTGGTGGACATTTTATTATTCTAATTTTCCTCTTTTTTAAAATGAAAATTGCTGAGAAATGATGCCAGGTTTACACGAACACAAAAACCTGGGATTTTATTAAATGGCACAAAATTTGGCATGCATTAGTAATTAACTTAAGAAAAAACACTAAGAAGTGGCCCGAACTGTATGTAACAAGGTGGAGAAATGGTGCTGGGTCCACACCATTTCACGGGGAAAACAAAGCCAAGAAGTTCCAAAAATTAAAGTTAGAGTCAAAAATAATTTTTTTAACTCTAATGCGCACCAGTACGAAACTGAGGGGGGAGAGTGTTCAGCTCAGGCAGTTTGCATTGGAATATTAAGTTGGAGTCACGTCGAGAGATCTATACCGGTTTGGGCCTTTTTAGACCTCATCAGTAGATCACACTCGGCAGTGAACCCAACTTAACATGCCGCAAAATCCAAGACGGCATTAAAACACCGTCATGGATATGACCCGAGGCATGACACAAAAGTGTGATCCTTGCGATATCTACCGTCGCTGCTGAACAACTCTCATAACAAAACAAGCACGGTTCGTTTGAACCAAAGTTAAATGAAAAGTCGATGCACTCATGATTTCTCTTCAGAACCTTGAAGTATGATGTAAATACATTACTTTAAGACCAAAACGAAAATATTCTGTCGAGCTCTCGGAAAATAAGACCGATCTAAAGGTTTTTAGCCCTGAATCGGCTGAAAATTTCTGATTACGGAGCAAATATCCAATAATTATGCTGTACTCTTGGTTTTTTGAAGTTGTGGGGGCATCGAGGGTAGGAAAAGGCCTTTTTCTTCCTTCAACCCCCCCCCCGCCCCTCGCTCCCCCCACCCCCTTCCATAAAAAACCATTTACACCCATGCATATGCATGCGCTCAAATTGATATGCATGTCTTGCTAGTTTGGAGTCGGTGGATTGGACCCAAAGTAGAATACCGATGACCAAACTCGAAAATTGCACAATCGCTTATTGCAACGTTGCAGATTTCCTTCTAATATTTTTTACGGCCGATAATTTTGCAGAATTTCAAGGAAAACTTCATTCGTTTTTTTTACAATGAAATTAAAATTCAGTGGAAGTAATTCTCTCAAATCTTTTCTGTGGTTCGTTTATAAATAAAGAAAGTAGAAAAATGTACGAGCAGAAACTCTGAGACGTCGCAATAAAGATGCGTTTAATATTTGAGTTTACCTTTCAATATTGTTTAAAATGTATTAAAAATACAGCAGGATTAATTGGAATATTTGAAGAAAAAATAGTCTTTTTTACGAAAATAGAGGGTTAGTTATATTGAAAGCATTTGAATACAAAATATGCCAAAGCATA